TGACTTTCCGTTCCAGAGTTATCCCCCCATCGCCAAAAAGCTTGTGAACGCGATAGTGGCTACATTTTTTTAACGAATATTCTTTTCGGTTTTAGTTCCAGAGTTATCCCCCCCATCGCCAAAAAGCTTGTGAACGCGATAGTGGCTACATTTTTTTAACGAATATTCTTTTCGGTTTTAGTTGTAGGTATTGAGAGTTGCTCTCAAACAACCATCCTTGAATTTTTGATTAAGTTCAAGGATCCACATCTTCAATAGATGGCTTGATCTCTCTGTAACTCCGTACATCTTATCAAGCCCTTCCCGTAATACCCTGCATATTTCGGCACTAATTTCGATTGGCTACTGACCCAGCTGGGGAATCTGCCAGATTCCTCGATCATCTCGAATACCAAGTCTTGCGCTTTACAACTAAAATGTCTGTGATAATCGAGTGGGAAAGATCAGGGTTCGTCCAATGTCTAAGTTTCCGTGGAGGTCGCCATGTTTGATTTGGGTATGTTTGAGTACCTCTGATTGGACGCCATCGTCAACGCATCTGCGTTTAAGGGAGATAACATAGCTATAAGTTCGGGAATTGCGGACGAGGCTAGCAACGTCTAGACTCTAGATTTTGTAAAACTCGCGGTCATTGCTTCAGGAACATGACAGATCCATAGCCTCGATAGTTCCTACACAGCTTCGCGTTTATTGGCATTGCTCTACAAATTTCAGTCATTTCCTTCACTATGACTGTTTCTGATAATATGGACATAATACCGGGTTTGTGATTTTTTAAAAATACAACGTAATTATAACACTTAATTAAGCATATCTTTTTATATGGGAATTGACATCTCGTTTCGTGTAAACTTTACTAATAGACCAGGAGGTAATGGCAAAATAATATGGTCATCAGTTACAAAAGGTTTGCCCCCCCCCCCCCAAAAAAAAAATAATAAAATAAAATAAATAAAATGTAGTGGGTGTCCATACACGTATAATTAATTGGTGAGACTGGGCACTGCTGGGACATACAGTCACAGCAGCACCTTAAAGTACACCTCACGTGGGCCAAATGTTTGGTCATAAAGTACATTATGGCTGAAACGTTTTAATTAGAAGCAAAGGTATCCATAGCTGGAGTAAATATTTCACAACTCTAACCTAAATTTCCGGGACTTTCCCCATGTCAGACCACGCCCAATATCTCCTCACGGGACTAATAATATGGTCATCAGTTATATGGTTGAAACTTAACAGAAACAAAGATCCATACATGTACTTGTAAATATATTTTTCAAACATCTATCCAAAAAGTCAGATAGCTCTAAGTCTGTTTGATTACGCCCTAATAATGGGACTTTTATATGATGTCATCAGTTACATGGGTCATGGGTGAAACATACCAAAACACAGGTCCATACTTGTAAAATATAATTTTCAAAAATCTAACCAAAATCTTGGGGCTTTCCCCAAGTCTATCCGACCACGCTCTAAAAATGGGGCTTTTAGTGAGGTTATCAATTACATGGCTGAAACCTAATATAAATACGGATCAGTGCATGGACAGTGTGTTTTTCGAAAATCTAACCATAAATGTTGGGGTCTTTCCTCAAGTCAGAGTGACCTTTATAACTTAGCCCACCCCACCCCCTCTATATAAAGCTTATAATTATGTAATATCAATAATATCTTTTTTGAACCGCAGCAGGATTTAAAATATTAACACAAAAGTAGAACAAATACTTGAATTACTCATGGAACGCTGAATATCGATATGATCCGTCCTCCCATGACCTCAATGCTTCAAGCTATGGAATCCATTGTCTCCACAAGGTTTTCGGCAAAGGGGATAATTCCTGAACGGACAGTCGCAGAATACTAAAAATCAATATGGTTTGTCCAATTTGAAAAACATCCGTTAAAATCTACAAGGTTTTGTGAAAAGGAGGATACCCCCGGAACGGAAGGTTTGTACTGAGGTGATCACATTGCTTCCCACCAAATTTGAAAAACAGCTGTTAAGACCTATAGCCTCTATTGCATTCGCAAGTTATCGGATAGGGGGGGGGGGGTTACTTCTGGAACGGAAAGTTTGTACTCACGTGATTACAATGCTTCCCACCAAATTTGAAATACATCTATTATAATTTTAGTCGTTTGAGGGTTCACAAGGTTCACCAAACTGAAACAAGGGCCTTAACCCAGTAAGTAATGTACAGAAATTCTAGATGTTTTTTTCATTTTGCTAATTCAAATAATGCATATAAATTTCATATATACTCTTCAAAAAAAGTAGGGGATATTGAAATGCATATACCTTTGCAGGTTGTGATATGATAAATAATCATGGACACTTGACATGCTTTGAGAGTATGTTCACAGATGAAGGACTTATCGCCCCAACAGAACCACTGAGCTGCACATGAGACACGCAATAGCACCATACACGTGGGAGGGGGTCATTCTCAAATTTGATGAAAACTGCCGCGTGCAGGTTTATCTATCCATGTTTGCTTTCCTATCGGTTCTTGCATAAGATTTACTGTTTAGCGTATCTTTGCTTTAGTGTGTTACGTTTAATTTGATCGAGAGGCGTGTTCGTCGACGTCAACGTCAACGGACAACACTGCAAGAATTGGCCGTGGCACGGCAAGAGGAGTGGGTCAGATTGCCCCAAATCGTGATTGGACGGTTGATTAGGAGCATGCCACAACGAATTGCTGAATGTCTGAGGATTGGTGGAGCAATTACTCATTATTAAGACAAAAATCAAAAACGTTCATTTTCACTTTTGACGGTGTATCTCTTTGCGAGTGAAATGGGGCCGTCCAATAAGTCGCCCATATGAACTGTTTATGTTCATGTGTAGGCAATTGGCCTGTTATTAACAAACACTGGTTACCTCTAATAAAAACTCCAGTGCATTTTCGCAGTTCTGTATGGTTTCTGAATACCACCTACTTTTTTTGAAGAGTATATATAACTTTTGTCATTTGAACGTTCACAGGGTTCAACAAAGTAAACAATGACCATAACTCTAGAAGTAATTGACAGAAATTGCTGAAATTCAAAAGGCTTCTTCGCTTTACTAATTCAAATGAAGCATAGAAATTCCATACAGATCGGATGATAACTGGTGTCGTTAGAGCGTTTACAAGGTGCAACAAAGTTAGACAAGGGCCATAATTCCAAAAGAAATTAACAGAAATTGCTGAAATTCAAAAGGATTCTTTGTTTCACTAATTTAAATGATGCATTTACATTTCATAGAAATCAGATGATAGCTTTCGTCATTCGAGCGTTCATAAGGTCCAACAAAGTGAAACAAGAGCCATATTACACTATTAGTTCTTCAGGTTCTTGATGCCAACACTGGTTTAACTTCATATATCCATCCCAACATATAATGTACAAGACTCCTTAGTTAATGATTCCTTAGTTAATGACGTCTTAGTAAGTTTGAGTGAGCCCTGGTGTTAACTTAGGCGCTCTGGCCTGGACTCTGACCAACTATACTAACTCAAGTTATCGGCTTGGGATCTATGTGGTCCCAACTTAACTTCTTAACCAACTGATCTCTTCTTTATACCCTTGGCCCTTGTCAGATGTCAAGATGATTACACAGCTGGCTATTACGTAATACTAGATTAGCCTTCTGTACAAATTACTTTACAAGACAACAGACATTACATGAAAATGAATCAACTATCTGTCATAAGTGACAGCTAGCATGATATGGATATTAATTTTAATGCCGCTTTCATGTGTCTAAGGTGGCAAATGATTTACCTTTCCCATATCCCCTATTGTGTAACATTATAAATATAACTCCAAAAGAAATTAACGGAAATTGCTGAAATTCAATAGGATTCTCCGATTCACTAATTTAAATGATGCATATGAATTTCATACAGATCGGATGATGACTTGTCGTTAGAGCGTTCACAATGTTCAACAAAGTGAAACAGGGGCCTTACTCAGACGTAATAAACAGAAATTGCTGAAATTAAATTGGCTTCTTGGTTTAACTAAAATGATGCATATAAATTTTATAGAGATCGGATAACTTTTTTTCAAATTGAAACAAGGGCCATAACTCCAGAAAAAAATTAAAGGAAATTGTTGACATTAAATAGGATTCTTCATCTCACTGATGTAAACAAAATATATTAATTTCAAAACAATCAGATGATGAATGTATTCTGTAGAGTGTTCACAAGATATTGTGGACAACGGGCATAGGCGACAGTGATATACAACCATAATTCCATGTGGTGTATAAAAAGATATATTCGGATTTATCCATATACCTGAAGCAACGGCCCAAGAAATCCCTCTCTGGCCATTGCTGGATTGGCTTCTGATACTTGAGCTTTTAAGCGAGTTTGTCTATTCTTCCCGCTCAATCAAATCTATCCCAAGTACAGCAACATGACCACCCTTCGTTTAATCTAGGTCTTCCCTAAAACTTTAGACAGAAATTTAAGGTATTAAAAACGGTGAAAGTATGTTCGTCATTGTTTACATCGTTTTCGATTTGATAGCCTCGTTTGTCACGCAATTAGTTTTTCTGCAATATTCTGCTATGCACTGGTTAATTGGGCATAATAAAATCGTGAGTCATGACGTAACATTATGTAAACATATTTGGTCCAATTTGGAGCTCTGTTTTAAGCATAATGCTTTTGTAACGCAGTTAGCTATTGGTTGTCAATCGGACTGTTGACCAGTCATAATTTGGAACATAAATTTGCCTTCCTTAAAGCAGTGTTTCGTGGGATTAGGTATAACATAAACCCCATTTCTCTCTCTCGAATGTTTTAGGTATGGAGATAAAGATATAATCATTATGGTAATTTGAAGATTGTAGGAGCTGGAGCAGCAGTGGCTCAGTGATTAAGAAAGGTTAATATTTTGCTGGACTTTGAGCCCGATAGTTCATATAGTTAGGGATGCATAGTTGCAAGTATTGTGTAAGAACTTTAAAATACATGTATTAACACACACAAACAATATATAGTTAATAAAACATTTATTATATAATCAGTTTCAAATAACAAACAGGTCTTTTATAAAAAATAATAATGATGTGGTTGTTGGGTTTGAAATGGTGCAGAAACCTTCAAATTTATTCAAAACAAAATAGCTTGTAACGACTCCTTAAACGCTCTAGTAGGAGTAGGAATTCATGGTATAAAAAAACATTATTCAACAGGAAAAATTTACTATTCCAAATTTTAGATGTGTTATTAACATGTTTACCTTTAAAAGCACAAACAATTTATATGGAATACATTCACTGATTTGATAGCACGTTTCAACAAGTCTTCTATTTTTGATGAAGGAGTCATTAAACACTATTAAGATCGCAATATCTAAATAAACAAGTCCAAACCATAGTATAACTTATTATTCATATAAACATACAAATTTGTATAGCTATTGAAACTAATGACTATATTCCAGTATATATTATTATGTTTATCATGTCTACAGTAATGATGTGGAAATAGATTTAGGATTGAAATAATGTCAAACAGTATTATATCAATCCGATATATATCATCTAATTACAGTTAAATACAAATAAACAGGCAACCACTTGTATTTGTATATTTAGTTTTAAAGTATATATTTATTTATTTTAATCTATTAAATAAATTCAGATAATTCTACACCAGTTAAAATACGTCTGTATTGTAAAGATTTCAAGTTATTTTATTTCTTACTTTCATTCATATAACTCAATATACTGAATTTTCTTAAAAACTTTTTTTTTACATGTTTTTTCTACATAAAGTGCAACCAGATAATTTAAGCTGAATTATATGGTTCTTGTGAATAGGAAAACATACTTATTGATCTACAAGATTTAATGTTTGTTTAAACTATATCATTAAGTGTCTATATAATCTACATGTACTGTTACACTTACTTTCTAATCCATGAATTTTGAGCTGAATAATATTCATAGTCTAAATGAAATAAAAAAAACTTTTATTGAAAGACTCAAAAGTTTAGTCCTCATTGGCCACATATAGTATGGGGTTACATTATTAGTTCTGTTTACTATTATTGAACCCATCAATGTTTGAGTACCTGCACATACCAACATATATATATATATATATACATCGTAATAAGGTGCTTACATAGTTCTTTGAACAATATGTCAATAAATAAAATAAGAAGGAAAGTAAGCCACTCAAAATGAGCTAATATTATGTACTATAAACACAAGTCTTTACTCAGTAAAGATTATACAACATTCATACCAATATCTTATTAACACTTTATACAGTACTTACCAATAGAAACACAATTTACATTAATACATCTAGCAAGCAAAGTAGTCCTTCAATAAACATTTGTAACCCAAAAAGAAAGACAAGAAAAGGATGACAACAAAAATTGTGACCTCTAGAGTGTCCAAAAGCGAAAAACATGATTTTTCGTACAATCAGGGGCCATAATCCATGAAGTTAAGGTCCGATACATGCCAATATTGAAAGGAACCAAGATCTTAGGGAGATAAACCTATATTTCAAATTTCATCAAAATCGGATAGAAATTGTGATCTGTAGAGTGTCCTCAAACAAAATGTGAAAGGACGGTAATTATCAGAAATTGTTGAAAATCAATAGGATTCTTTGTCTCATGACCAATAATACTGTGTATCGGATAGTAACTTTAGCCTCTAGAGCGGCCACAAGATTTTTCAAAGTAATCAAGGGCCATAACTCTGGCAGTAATTATAGGAAATCGTTGAAAATCAATAGGATTCATTGTCTGATGACCGTACACACTGTGTATAAATTTAAAGTCAATCGGATATAACTTTAGCCTCGAAAGCATCCACAAATTTTTTCAAAGGGATCAGGGGCCATAACTCTGGCAGTAATTCTAAGAAATCTTTGTCTGATGACCTTAAACACGTGTATATAAATTTAAAGTCAATTGGATATTAACTTAGCCTATATAGCGTCTTCAAGAGTTTTCAAAGTGATCAAGGGCCGTAACTCTGGCAGTAATTATTGCAAATCTGTGAAAATTAATATGCTTCTTCGTCTCATTATCTAAAACACTGTGTATGAATTTAAAGTCAATCGGCTATTAACTTTAACCTCTAGAGCGTACACAAGATTTTTCAAAGTGATCAAGGGCAGTAACTCTGGCAGTAATTATTGGAAATCAGCGAAAATCAATAGGCTTCTTGTCTCATGACCTTAAAAACTGTGTATAAATTTAAAGCGATCAAGGGCCATAACTCCAGTAGTAATTATTGGAAATCGGTGAAAATCAATAGGCTTCGTCTCATGACCTTAAACACTGTGTATAAATTTAAAGTCAATCGGATATTAACTTTAACTCTAAAGCGTCCACAAGATATTACAAAGTGATCAAGTGCCATAACTCTGGCAGCAATTATCGGAAATCATTGAAAATCAATAGCCTTTTTTGGTCTCATGGCCTTAAAAGCTGCATATAAATTTGAAGTCGGATATTAACTTTAGCCTCTAAAGCGTCCACAAGATATTTCAAAGTCATCAAGGGCGGAAGGGGGCGACAACAATATTTGACCACATTTCAATGTGGGCGTATATAAATGGTTGATAAGGATTACAATAATTTGTTATATTGTTTGCTGATCTCGAGAACAATTTTATATAATTTACAGGATATAATAATGCCAGGAAATCTGTGTAAGTAATAATAATTATCTTCTAGTCATTAAAGATGAGATAGTGAGTGTCCTCCAACTAAGAATTTTATAAACCAAGACTAATAATCCTGACCAAGATATACATGTACAGTAGAATCTGTAGGAGCAGCCACTCCTATTCAGCGACATCTCCTTGTAAACGGTCACGATTATTTTGTTTTATTAAATGATAAACCCTGATCATTGTTTTCACACGTAACGAAACATTATGTGATACTGATTGAATGAACTAAGAGTATCATCAAAGTCGAGTTTTGTCAAGATCATCTAGCATCTATTTTCCATTGCGACTTTGTTGCCAAACATAAGTTTTAGCACCTTGTATATTACATACAGAGTTACACCCCCCGACTCGGTAACAAATTCAGCGATGGTCTTTTGGACGTGCTTTTTTGATAAAATAAAATCAATAAATGGATTTTCTTCACAAAAATGGATAAATATTATCAAATACATCAAAATGGTAGACAGTAGTATCAATGTTGGTACAAAATGACAGGTTTAGAGACGTTATATTAGAGATTTGAGTCAATGAATTTCAAGCAAGTTTCAACGACAGCCAAATTTAACGATACAAGTATTGATGTTTGCTCCAAATGCATCAAAGCGTAAAATTTACTTAATGTCAGCACTAACAAACACTGAGATTTTATTAAGAGGTCACTCCTGTTAAGCGGTCAGTCATAAAAATTTCCTACAAGCTGAGTGGCTGCTTAATACAGATTATACTTTAGTATTTTTCATACTCCTTAGTTGTTCACACAGGTTAAGATTTGCATGCTATTCTTTAAGCCTTGATCATCTTAAAGGATAAGTCCCAGATTTTCAAGTGTACCTCTCCCAAGCTCCATTAATAAAAGTAGGTTTGATTATGTAAATCAAATGTCAAAATATAAAGAAATGGCAAATTCATCATGTGTGAAAGTTTCAATTTAAAATATAGATTTGATTAACAGAGTTACACAATTTATTTAGGCAATTCCACTTTACATTGTTTTGATTATGTTGAGGATATAACACAACACAGTTCTATAGATTACATTGTTCAATGGATTACATTATGATTTGAACACTGTAACTTCTACAGGTACTTACTTGTATAGCATGGAGTTTGGGGAATTTTGACATTCTACACGGATACAGTAAGAATATAATTGCAAAAATCATAGATCTCACATAAAATCAACCAGTTTGATTCACTCAAATATATCAGGGATAGCTACTTTAATGTCAAAATATATTTGTTTTTCATACTTATTATGCAAGAGCTAAATCTGCCTATTGCAGGTCTTTCTTTAGGCCTGAAATGTTATATAAACTATTAAATGAAACATTTATTAACATGACAAGACCATAATCAACTCACGATGCCATCTGAAAGGTCTGGTTTTCATTATATTGGAATCTGTTCTACCGTTCAACAGCCATTGATGATTAAATGCAAAAATGGATCATCAAGACTTTTTTTTATTTTCGTCACAAAATGAGATTTCTCAGCTTTGGCTACTTTGAGTGAAGTTATTTAACTGAAACTGTAAATATTCCTGTTACATTATCTATTATTTAACTATTATAGTGGGAACTGTCAACTCTCTATATAATCTTCCATAATGTATCTTTAATGTACCTCCAATAACATAACTAATTTCAACAATATTAATATCATGACATACATAACTGATTTGCTGTACTATTAGAGCATCTGAATCAGTTTTAACTTAAATGATACCTATACGGCCCACATCATGCATATTTCAAGACTTTCAAAAGAGCCAGCTCGTTTAAATTTATATTGCACTTGTAAAACACACAAGTTGAATAATTGCATTGTCATAAAACTTCTACTTTCAAAGGATTTTTGCTCGAGATCAAGCTTTGTACCAAATTTATTACATGATGATAAATGGTTGATACAATGAAATTATTATTTTCTGCCAGTATATTGAAATACAACTGCTGCTTGCTGAATATATTATCTCATACACCTCACATCACGCCATTACTTTCCAAAAATATATTCAGAGTACTAGTAGTCACAAACACACAGATTTTATATGGGTTGTTTGCACAGAAGAGGTGTCAAATTATGAATAAATTGTCCTAAACATCACATTTATCAGTTGGTATCCATATCATCATTATGATTTATACCGTTACTATTTACACCATTAGTTGTTCCAGCTGCTGCTCCATTTAACATATTACAATCTGATGCACCACTTGTAGCTGTTGAAGGGGCGTTTGATGGTTTAGATATATACTGTGATGATGTTACACCACGTTTCTGATACACCAATACATAAGCTGCTTTAGACTGAAATATACAAATAACCAACATTGTAAAATCATTAGTAACAACAATTAATACATTAGACTGGCCTTAAAAATATCTTTGTTCGCCTAACCCGATCGACAAGTGACTATTCCCATGAAATTATCTTCCTCAATTTCTGTGGAGCTTCGTTTAAATAATGACAACAATATTTTCAATGAAGACAAAATCCACATGATCGTTATAAACGTGTTGAAGGAATTTCCCACTTCAATTTCATGGCAAATCGTGCCTCACTAAAAATCCTGATGTCATCGGGACCTACTGATTTGTGAAACAAAGAGGTTTTTAAGGTCAGCCTTATAAACAAGGAAACTGATACTAACCCTATATTTAGATTATAGAATATTATTTAACGGGTGAGTAAAAGCTGTTAGATATATAATAGATATCTTATTGAGAATTAACCAGCGGTTGCCAGGCAAGATACGCCCACATTTTGCAAGAGATGGATAGAGAACAAGCTAAAAAAAAACAAAAACAAGCCAACAGTGAGGCTGATGTCCTATGCCGAAATCCGAAAATAAATAGATGACACATATTAATTAATCACACATTTTATTTTTTTCAATAAGTAACAAGCAGTTAAACTATACACTAAGTTTCATCATGCTCTATCAGATAGAATCAAGATTATCTTGTCCCAAAGAATCGACCAATGAAATTGATTAGCTCTGGTTAGTCAAGACATTCACCTAATGAACATCTACATCAAGTTTAAACATTCTACCTCAATTAAAAGCAGAGTTGTTATGTTCCAAAGTCTTGACCAATCAAATTCCTTATTGCTCCTTAGCCTAAGCAGAAAATTCTCACCATCGAACTTAGTCAAGGTAATGATATAATGAATCTATATTCGGAGTTTCATTGCTCTCACTTTATTATAATCAAAGTTATAATGCCCCAAAGCATCAACCAATCAGACTGCTTATCTCTGCTTACTGTAAGCAGACAATGTTCATCATCAAACTCCATTAAGGCATTCACCTAATGAATGGCTACACCAATTCTGCCTCAATTAAAAGGAGAGTTTATTGTGTTCCAAAAGGAGAGTTATTGTGACCCATCAAATTGCTTATCGCTCTGCTTACCCTCAGCAGAAAATGTTCATAATCGAACTTGGTCAAGGTATTGATGTAATAAAGCTATTTCAATGTGGGCGTATAAAAACAAAAAGTACTTACCACCACTTGATCATCTGAGGATTGTGATACACTAGAATCGTCAAAATAATACCAATCATTTGTTGTTTTATTTAAACCATAGGCCGTATCTACAAATGCAGATATTATACTTTACATTATAAATATAGGTTGCCAGACAACGAAACATGCGCCCACAGCAACTAAGTCGTCAGAGCAGTCAAGAAGGGTTGTCACATATTTTTTTTTATTTTTCTGTAATGAAAGCATTTACAAAATCTGATTATGAGTAACAACCCATAAGGTTTGTCTCATGACCCTAAACACAAGATATTTCAAAGTGATCAAGGGGCATAACTCTGGCAGTGATTATTGTAAATCGTTAAAAATCAATAGGATTATTCGTGTCATGACTCTAAAATGTCCACAAGATTTTTTAAAGTGATAAGGGTCACAACTCAGGCAGTAATTATCAGAAATTGTTGAAAATGAAAACGATTCTTCGTCTCGGGACCTTTAACACTGTGTACAAATTTAAAGTCAATTGGATATTAACTTTTCTGTCCAGAGAGCCCACAAGATATTTCAAAGTGATCAAGGCCCATAACTCTGGCAGTATTTATTACAAATTGTTGAAAATGAATATGATTCCGGGGCTCAAAATTCACGAGAGCCATTGTGGCCATTGCTGTCGTAAGCCTAGCAATGGCCTTCGATAGCTTTTACATCAAGGGCCAAAAATTGCTGTCGTAAATTGCGGAAAAAAAATCGATAAAAATACGAGAGCCATTGGCCGTAGAATTACCCTAAATGGCCGTCGATGGCACCTATATCGGAAGCCAAAATAAACTAAAAAGTTCACGTATGATATGCAATTTCCCGTAAAACTTGGCTGATCTAATGACCTCCCACGATTAATTTTATATTATGCATGGCTGTTCGTAGTTTACCCCCCTCCACAGATGCCTGTAACACCTAACAGTCTTATTATACAAGACTATGATAAGCAGACGTTAGTCAAGTCTTTTGCGATAAACAAGGCTACGGTTCAAGAAAGTGCTTGATAATCAGGCCTTCATCGGTAACCATGGACAGAGAGTCTTACGAGGAGCCATCCTGCATGCGTGCAGGGTGTATGCTACAGAATTATGATGTCCAAACCGAAATGGTTTTGCGACCAAGACAGGTCGAAGACTACACTGTTTGGTTATTTTTCATTTTGTCGTGAAAAAGGCAATGATGCCTCGTCTAGTTCCGATGACGAAGGCGATGGAACAGAGCCAATGTCGCCAGATAAAAACACGGGTTCAAGTTTAACAAAACGAATGATCAGGGTGAAAACTTTTAATGGATGGGGCATTGACTTTGTTAATGTAGTGGAGGAACAGAACAGACTCGCGAAAAAAATCATTTGTAAAGTTTGCGAAGAATTTCCGGAAGAGGCGAAAAAGAGTTATCATAGTGGTCAAGCACAATTAGCTGATGTTTTGGCTTACATTAATGGAACAAGTCACATAAAAAAATTGAGTGTCCTGCGTCACGGTAAATCCAAAGGTCATCTAAGGGCATTAGCAGCCAAAGAAGCCACCAACAACAACGCACTTCTTAAAGCCGTGAAAATTATTTGAAACCGCTTATTTTGTTACTCACGAACTTATAAACCTTGAAAAAAAACATGGGGTAGATCTTGGAGAAACGTATTCAAATCCTGTGGCATATTCAAATTTTGTGAACAAAATTGGTGAATCAATGGTATCAAATGTGACAGATGTAATTAACCAGAGGCTGCCAGGCAGGATACGCCCACATTTCCGAGAGGTGGATAGAGAACAAGCTAAAAAGTAAGCGATTTTTCGTACAATCAGGGGCCATAATTCAGGAAGTTACGGTCAGATATGCCCGAATATCAAAAGGAACCGAGATCTTTGGGTTATAAACTTACATATCAAGTTTCAACAAAATCGGATAAAAACTGTGAGCTCTATAGGGTCCACAACCTTGATATATTATATTTTTATGCCATTTTGGGACGATTTTCATGAAATTCGAACTCGTCCTTCCTTAGGGTGTAACAGTGATATAATATTTCGGTTTTTTAAATCGGATAAAAATTATGACCTCTATAGGGTCCACAAGCCAAAAACGTGATTTTTCGTACAATCAGGGGCCATAATTCAGAAAGTTACGGTCCGATATGCGCGAATATCGAAAAGAACCGGGATCTTTGGGTAATAAACTTACATTTGTAGTTTCAACAAGCCAACAGTGAGGCTGATGTCCCCCGCCGAAAAGGAAAATAATTAGAGGACACATATAAATTTATCACAAATTATCTTTTACAAAGTATTGAACAATCAAACAGTATATCTTTACTTATAGTCTAACAATCAAAGTAGGAGAGTTATTGTTTTCCAAAGTCTCGACCAATCAAATTGCGTATCGCTCTGCTTACCCTGAGCAGAAAATGCTCATTATCAAACTTAGTCAAGGTATTACTGTAATGAAACTATACACCAAGTTTCATCAATCTCACTTAATTAGAACTAAAGTTATCGTGTCCCAAAGCATCAACCAATCAAATTGCTTATCTCTGCTTACCCTAAGCGGAAAATGCTCATCTTCGAACTCCATCAAGGCATTGACCTAATCAACACATACACCAAGTTTGAACATTCTAGCTCAATTAGGAAGAGAGTTATCGTGCCCCAAAGTATCAACCAATCAAATTGCTTATCTCTGCTTACCCTAAGCGGAAAATGCTCATCTTCGAACTCCATCAAGGCATTGACCTAATAAACACATACACCAAGTTTGAACATTCTAGCTCAATTAAAAGTTATCGTGTCCCAAAGCATCAACCAATCAAATTGCTTATCTCTGCTTACCCTAAGCGGAAAATGCTCATCTTCGAACTCCATCAAGGCATTGACCTAATCAACACATACACCAAGTTTGAACATTCTAGCCCAATTAGGAAGAGAGTTATCGTGTCCCAAAGCATCAACCAATCAAATTGCTTATCTCTGCTTACCCTAAGCGGAAAATGCTCATCTTCGAACTCCATCAAGGCATTGACCTAATAAACACATACACCAAGTTTGAACATTCTATACTATTCAAAAAAAGTAGGGGATATTTGATTTTTAAGTGTTATTAAAGTCACCTAATGAAACTGACGAAGAAACAAATGACAAAATGAAATGAAGTTCAAATTCATCGATTTATTCCAAATGATCGTTAGACTAAGTAAGGCACAGACTGACCATTATAAGGGTAAAATGATACCCGGGGTCAAACAGCAAAGTTACCACAGCATCACAACCAAGTCAGTAACGGGTAAATCCTCCTCTGTTTGCCAAACAAGCATTGATCCGACGTGGCATACTCCTAATGAGACGTCTTAGGTCATTTTGGTCCAGATTGTCCCATTCCTGTTGCAACGCAGCAGCAAGTTCTTGGACATTGGCAGGACGTTGTTGACGTTGACGTAACCTCTGTCCAAGCATGTCCCAGACATGCTTGATGGGGGAGAGGTCGGGACTCTGTGCTGGCCAAGGTAATGTGGTGATGTTCTGTTGTTGGAGGTAACCTGTAACGATCCTGGCCCTGTGACATCTTGCGTTGTCATCCTGGAAGATGAAACGGCGGCCATGACGTCGTGCGAACGGCACAACATGGACTGCCAAGATGTTGTCCCGGTAGTACTGGCCTGTAACACGCCCTGCAACAACATGTAAAGCCGTTCTTCCAGCAACAGTGATGCCTCCCCACACCATAACAGAACCACCCCCAAATCGATCATGTCTGATGACGTTAACGTCTTGGAAGCGCTCGTTTCGACGACGCCACACCCTCCTACGTCTGTCCAAAAAATCAACAGTGAACCTTGACTCATCTGAAAAAATCACATTGCTCCAGCGTCGATTATCCCAGTGTTGACGATCCCTACACCAACGACGTCTTGCCTGAATGTGATGATCTCTCAAACAAGGGATCACGCGAGGACGTCGGGCGCGAAGGTGACCCCTATGCAGTCGATTCCGAATCGTCTGGCCACTCACTCTCACACCAGTGTCTGTTTGAAGACGAGCGCTGATCTGATTTGCTGTGATGACACGATTTCTCAAGGCCAAGGTACGGATAAATCGATCCTGGGCTTGAGTTGTCGCCCTTGGTCGACCTGAGCGTGGTCTGTCCTGTACAGATTGTGTATCACGGTATCTGGACCATAGCCTGCTTATGACAGACTGAGAAACATTCATCGTCCGCGCCACAACCGCCTGTGTTGTGCCGATCTGTAGAATGCCAAGGGCACGTAACCTTTCATTTTGGGTAAGCCGACGCATATCAAAATTTGTTTTCTGGTCACTAAAACAATTAAACTGATGTTTCCACCCTGGAATTCAATGCCACAATGACTGTAACATTCAAAGTCAGAGTCGTGCAAATCTTGGGTTGGACCCCCATGATGATCCCAAGCATCACCTGCATTCCATGCGGTAGCTATTGGTGCGTTTGGGCGTCACATGTAACTGGAAATGTTTCTTCTGTTAGGTTCTATAGTGACTTTTTTCGTAGTCATTTGCATATTTTAGTATTATGACCCCAAAATCAAATATCCCCTACTTTTTTTGAATAGTATAGCTCAATTAGGAAGAGAGTTATTGTGTCCCAAAAAGTGTGACGGACAGACAGACGGACGGACAGACGGACAGACAGACGGACGAACCCATTTTAATAGTCCCCTGCTTTCTTCGAAAGGCGGGGGACAACAAAATCGGATAAAAATTGTGACCTCTATAGGATCCACAACCTTGATATACCATATTTTTACGCCATTTTGTCTGTCAATTTTGGGCCGATTTTCACGAAATTCGAACTCAGCCGTCTTTAGGGTGTAACGGTGATATAATACGTTTTTTTAAATCAGATAAAAATTATGACCTCTATGGGGTCCACAAGCTAAAAGCGTGATTTTTCGTACAATCAGGGGCCATAATTCAGGAAGTTACGGTCTGATATACGCGAATATCGAAAGGAACTGAGATCTTTAGGTTATAAACTTACATTTCAAGTTTCAACAAAATTGGATACAAATTGTGACCTCTATAGGGTCCACAAGCTAAAAACGTGATTTTTCGTACCAACAAGGGCCATAATCCATGAAGTTTTGATCTGATACATGCCAATATCGAAAGCAGCCCAGATCTTTTGGAGATAAACCTATATTTCAAGTTTCGTCAAAATCGGATAAGAATTCTGACCTGTAGAGTGTCCACAAACAATTGTGGACAGAGAGGGGCGACGACAATATTCGTCCTCATGAAAATGTGGGCATATAAAAAGTGACAGTATTAGTGCCTGAACTAATGTTTGAGCAACAGCTGTCGTGATGAAGTGGCGAATGTATCTGATACGGGTATATCAAAGAAACATATACGGTCCATTTCATCAATGTGTGTTTCCATAATAAGTGTTGACTCAAGGAAAACACTAAGGGTTTTCACTATTTTCAGTCTAAGAGAAGTTGATCATTGAATAACCGAATGTTGTATTGTTGTATTCTTTTATGTTATTTTCCGTAATTTATTAGAGGTTCCAACTAACATAGCTTCAGTTTTTTCATCATTCAATTTTAGACTGTTGTATGTCATCCAGGACTTAATGGACTTTGAACATGCTGCTGTACGATTTAAGGATTCTTTAATTTGAGTGTGGTTGAAAACGTCAATTAGTTGTGTGTCATCAATGTAGGAGTAATGCCGGATACAATGTTGGTCAGTAATGATACCAAGGGGTGTAGTGTATAGTACAAATAATGCAGGACCAAGCTCTGATCCCTGTGGCACCTCACAGGACAATGTGACATCATCTCATTTTTTTGTTGAACATAACGGACTTGGTTCTATTTCTAAGATATGACAAAAACCAGGCTAGAGGTGTACCGGATATCTTAAAATTTCTGTGCAGGTGATTCAAAAGCACATTAGAATCCAGTGATTCTTTATTATAGTAGTTGCTTTACAATAGCTTGTTTCAGTATGTCAGGAAATACTCTGGTTGCCAGACTAGAATTTGTAAACGTCATTATTATTGGAAGTAAAACATCCAGGTATTCAAGCAGAAGTCTGGTTGGAATTGGGTCTAAAGATCATGTAGATTTCTTTGATGATTTGATGATATTCTTGATATCATTTTCACTGAAGGGCTCAAAGTGTGAGAGTGGTTCACAAGCAGGTTCTACAATATTTATAAGGATATAGTTTATAATAGATAAAAGGATATTGCAATTAGTCTAGTCTGGGCAGATTGAGAGCTCGAACAAGAGAATGAGCCGTGTCCTTAGATATGAGGTGACGGATGTTTCTGATAGACTGAAGGTGGAAAAAGCAAGTTTTACAGATATAATCAATTTAAAGGACAATATTGGTGCCAGTCATTATCACATATGTGATAGAACTGGTTAAATACATTCCAAATATAATTTTAACAGAGAGATTACTGCTACGATAGCTGAGTAATACAGGATTTGCGAATCGGAAGTGACGAACGCCAAAGGAAAACACGGGACATACCTCTATATAACTGGCTGAAGTGCCGACTGATAGCAGATACATGGGCGAATTTCTGCTCACTAATAATTCCTTCGAAGACCAAAAGTTGTTATATGGGACTGTAAGAGGATAGCTGACAATTCAATACAGTAATTGAATGTCATTAGATAAGAGAACACGAGAAAAATAGAAATAGTCCGTACATTCCCTTGTTTATATTCATTCTATAGGGGAGAGCGGGGCTAGTTCGCACCATTTTTAATGAAACCAACATATCTCGATAACTTTTGAAGCTACGTTACCGTAGGCCAGTGATTCCCAACCAGTGTGCCGTGAGATCTTCCTATGTGTGCCGTTTAGTTTGAGCCATACTATGTGTCTATGACTAGTCTGTGGCTACAGTTGTATGCCATCTATGATTTGCCATGTTTTTTATTTTGCAAAAAAATCAAATATTTTTCATATATATTAAGTCGGGTGTGTCGCTGTTTTTTCATGTGTTTCAAGGTGTGCCATTGGCACAAAAAGGTTGAGAACCACTGCCGCAGACCATACTAGATTAAAGACAGTGGAGTTGGCTAATTTACGACATACATTAAATAGTTTTATTGACAGGCGTATCCAAGTAATTTCATCTCAAAGTCACCATGTCCGAATGGGCGAAGATCAAGCCTCGGCTGTATGACAGTAAGTGATATTTACCTACGCCTATACAATTGCGATGCGGCACCGGTTTACTTATGCCCCCGTCAGACCGGGGTGGCATCCTTACTGCGCTGCTGCAACTGTACAGCGACCAGGGAATGCCCAAAGTCACCGGTAAACTTGAACACAATGCGAGAAAATGTCCCCCAAAAAATTACACACTTGAAAAAATCCGCAGCTTTCCAGGTCAGATGGCAGAACCTTGGCGTTTGCTTTAAACATGCTCAAAATAAACGCGGTGACTCGGCGATCATTGGGGACCATGGTGACTACAACACAATAGCTGGCGTTTCCACTACGCTTATGGTGATCTAAAACTATTTTCCATCGCCGTAGCAGCGAAGTAAGGACGCTACCCCGGTCTGAAGGGGGTATTATTAGGAATTAAAACTTGCCGCTTTTAGAAAGAAGTTCTCAAAACTGCGTCGTTCGAAGCGTATGTAGACTTTTCAGTTCAAACTGGTTCGTGTCTAAAGGAAATAGGATAAACTTGAAAGAAAAACAGCTTCAGACTTTAAAATCTTTATATGGTAAAACATTCTTTAAATGCGTCGTCATGGGCAACAGCGTTGGTAATCAGGGACTTGAAAGTAGTCCCAATGGCGGACTTCGTCATACAGCCGAGGCTAGATGTAGGGTACTGGAATCTGCTGAGGTTTGGCCGAGTGGGCGCGAGATATGAATGGGGTCGGACTAACCCCGCTTTCCCCTACCTTATAAAAACATGGTAATGCACGGACTTTTTTTCTGTTTTTCTTTCGTGTTCTCTTATCTACTGGCAGTCAATTCTTTTTATAAATTGTTAGATATCCTCTCACAGTCTCACACAACAACTTTTAGTCTTCGAAGGAATTATTAGTGAGCAGAAATTCGCCCATGTATCTGTTATCAGTCGGCACTTCAGCCAGTTATATAGAGGTATGTCTCGTGTTTTCCTTTGGCGTTCGTCACTTCCGATTCAGGAATCCTGTATAACTCTGCTATCGTAGCAGTGATCTCTGTGATAAAATTATATTTGGAACGTGTTTAATTAGTTCTATCACATATGTGATAATGACTGGCACCAATATTGTCCTTTAACATTCCCTAGACAGCAATATATATGACAACAGCAAAATGCGGGAATATACAAACCAACATGAAATGTGAATGCCCGTTCAAGGTTCTCTAAAGGTATCACATATGTTTTGCATGCCAGAACAGAATTTTTTAATGTAACGGTTTGTTACCAAAGATATTTATAGTAAAATAATACGTACAATGTCCTCCACCTAATCCACCATAATGATTGGAAACAGCTATTAAATCATACCGTTGTTTACCAAGCTTTTTATTTATCACACATTTATCTAACATTAAGTCCCTGCAATAAGCAAACATTGATTAATATTTAGTATAATTTTTAATATCTATTTCAACAACTGGATATATTGCAATTATCAACAAGCAAACATTGAGGCTGATGTCCCCTGCTATCAAAATATATTTATATATATAAATTTCAAGTCAATCGTATCATAATGTTAGCATCTTGAGTGTCCACAAAAAATAATATGTTACTATATTTCAATGTGGGCATATAAAAGTACTTACTTTACAGGGAATTCAACCAAGGCATCAATTTTATCTCTCCAGTATCTATTATAGGAAAATCTCTTCAGGTGTATGATTAAAATATTGGGTAATGACCATAAATCAAATTTCTTGGTGGCTTGTTGATGTTTTTTACATGATGGGCAGTACCTAAAAATATACATCCATTTTATTTTTTAAATTTGGAACTCCAAACAAATTCAAGCAGTATTTTTATTTTTGCAAGGGACAATAATTTGATTTTATTTTGCTTTCAATTTCGGTCGCACTATGGTATTCAACGCATTTTACCTGAAAGCGGATCAGTACGCACCCTCTCGTTAGCCGGTATCGAATAAAAACGCTGACTAATCATTCTTACCATCAGCATTAGCAAACAAAAGCACGATATCAATCAAATGTTATTTACCATATTTATTAAATTAATGCTGATTGGGTGATAAAAATAAAAGATTCAATCAAAAGGAATGTTATGTTCGTTTTTGTCCAATAAAAGTGAATTGTTTTAATAAAGGATCTCCAGGAATTTATGTAATAGGTCAGGGGTGAAAATTCACACCGTGTCAACGACTTCAAATGGCATTATTCCAACATTATCAAGACGTAACTTATGGCTAATAATTCTACGATGTGGAGAGTGACATGGAATCAGAATTTTTTTCATTTACTGACAATCCTATAGTGGAATATGACAATGTCGAAGAAATAAACTATTTATTTTTATTTTTGACATTATGAAGCGCAGAATACGTATACTCCAACCAATATCAAGCGTGTTCGCCGCCATCTTGGAATGCTTTCAGTCTTACAGAGATACAGTAAACCTCTCATAAGTCAGATTCGTATAAGTCGGATCTTTACTCAACTCGGGATAAAATTGTTTGGACCCTTTGTATCGACAGTATGTTCACGACATGCTGTTAAAAATACGGCCAGGCTGACGCCATTGAAATCCAAATACAGGGCAGCGCACAAATTTGCGCAACTAGGCCATATAAGACGAAACGAAATTGGAATTTTTGCAAAAATTTGATTGTAATTGGGCTAGGCAAAGCAATAATTGACTCAAGTTTCTCAACATTTCAACAATTCTTATTTTCCCCACCCCAGCTTACCTAAATTTCATTTCGTCTTATATGGCCAAGCCACGTAAATCCGTACGCCACCCCACATCTAGACCTCAATGTTTAGCAGAAGGGGATAGATTTTTAACAGCATGTTGTGTTGCACATACTAACTCTAGCGAGGTAAGCAAGGTCGTATTTTCTCACTAAGTTCCTTCACATAGTTCGAACGTTCACAGAGACTGACACACAACCGTTTAGCAGTAAAAAGTTGCCCAGTAAAATTGACAGTGAATCGATTTTATTTCGACAAGGATTCAATAGGACGGTTCCTGAACGTACAGGGCGATAATGAGACCTACGTTCAGAGCTGAACTAGGTGTTCGACTAACTCAAATCTTCGTGTAACTCGGATAAAATTGGTTAGTCCATTTGGATCCGACTTATGCAAAGTTTACTGTAAAACAAAACTTACGGCTACAAATTCTAGAATATGGAAAGCCAAATTGAATGAAGACTTTTAGGATTTAATACCAGTTGTATAGAAGAATATTACATTGTCGAAGATTTCAGGTATATATTTTTATTTTCGACGCTATGAAGCAAATAAGATAACAATTCCTATGAAATATCCAGAGGCAGAAATGTCGATAGCAATGAAGTGAGAGTCAGTCGGAGCAATATTTCTTTTTAAACATTATATTTATATTTACCTTCAACGTTAGAGACTATATTTGTGTTTATTTTTTTAAAAAAAATCATTTGGGATGTTTTTACAAGTTATTTTACCCTTATGACAGAGAAAAGTCATAGTAATTTAATTGCTACTTTAAACAATTGAATTTTATATCATTGGAAAGTACAAGACAATTTGTACATTTTTGTAATTCAGTATTTCTTTGTATAAAAAATAGTTATTTTTTTAGTTATTTGTAATTTTGAATAGGGTATTAGGAGTAACAATAATCCACTTATCGGTTTAGGGAGATGGGCCCTGCTGAATTAATGAGCTGTAGGGATAGGATAGCTAATGGCTCATTCCATGTCAAGTGGGCCAGGGGTGGGAAATCGATGTTACTGTACATGTAACCAGCGGCTGCCAGGCAGGATACGCCCACATTTTGCAAGAGATGGATAGAGAACAAGCTAAACAAAAAGCAATTTTTCGTACAATCAGGGGCCATACTTCAGGAAGTTATGATCCGATATACGTGAATATCGAAAGGAACTGAGATCTGTGGGTTATAAACATGCATTTCAAGTTTCATCAAAATCAGATGAAAATTGTGACCTCCAGAGGGTCCACAACCCTGATACTGATACACAATATTTTGACGCTATTTGCGAACGAGGGGTGGCCATTTTGTCCGTCAGTTTCAGTCTGATTTTTATGAAATTCTAACTCAACCATCCTTAGGGTGTAATGGTGATATATTGTAACGGTTTTTTAAATCGGATAAAAATTGTGACCTCTACGGGGTCCACAAGCTAAAAAACACAACTTTTCGTACATTCAGGGGCCGAATATTGAAAGGAACCGAGATCTGTGGGTTATAAACATACATGTCAAGTTTAAACCAAATCAGATAAAAATTACGTCCTCTACAGTGTTCACAAGCTAAAAACGTGATTTTTTGTACAATCAGGGGCCATAATCCATGAAGTTACAGTCCGATACATGCCAATATCAAAAGGAGCCGAGATCCTAGGGTGATAAACCTATATTTCAAGTTTCAATGAAATCGGATAAAAATTGTGACCTGTAGACTGTTCACAAACAATTGTGGACGGACATGGGCGGCGACAATATACGTCCACATCAAAATGTGGGCGTATAAAAATTAGAAACTGTGCAAAATTAGTGGTCTGTAGCTTAAAAATTGACTAAGATACGGGCATTTGAGTTTCATGAGTTACGGATGAGTTTTCAAAACAAAATATGTATCAATAATTTACTCGAGTTTCAGATATCTTATATTTACCTTTCTAGTGAAGATATACAGCTCACATTTGGTAGTCTTATGGAACTTTTTGTGTAGATTACGAATCTGCAATCAGATGACAGGTGAGTGGAAGGTTTGCATGCTACTTGGTCATAAAAAACGAAAAAAAATTTGGTGTAATTGTATATTTTCTGGATTTTGTAGTGCTCCAGGAGCTACAAAGTAATAGATACAGACCCATTTTGCCCCAAATCCCCCAAAATGGGTGGACCGTATCTCAGAAACTGTTAGTCGAATCAAGCTAAAACTTGGAATATCAGCTTTTTCAGCTTTAATAAGCATATAAACCATATTTCAGCAAAATCGAAGTGTGTACGGTTTAACTCACTGTGTGATAATTGACATGGAATGGCCTAAACCACATATTTTGAAAAAATCGAAAAAAAAATATTGATATGGCATGGGACAAGAATGGCTTTAACATATGTTGGAGACTTTAGTTCAAACTATAATTACACCAAGTTTCAGAATTTTAGCCGCTCATCTACCGGGTTCTTTCAGCTCGAAAATACAAGGCAATTTTCGAAACTTTGTGTCTAAAACCATACTCAAGGCCAATTTTCTGTGAAGATGGTTGCATTTTCATATGTTTCTTATGTAGTACTACCATTAATCTCTGGATATGCCAAAATATGGTTCTATATCTATTACTTTGTAGTTCCTGGAGCACTACAAAATCCAGAAAATATACAATTACACCAAATTGTTTTCGGTTTTCATGGCCAAGCAGCATGCGAACCCTACCACTCACCTGTCATCTGATTGCAGATTCGTAATCTACACACAAATTTCTCTAATGCTACCAAATTTGGGCTGTATATCTTTACTAGAAGAAAGGTAAAAACAAGATATCTGAAACTCAAGTAAATTATTGATACATATTTTGTTTCAAAAACTTATCGGTAACTCATAAAACTCAAATGCCCGTATCTCAGTCAATTTTTAAGCTACAGAGCATTAATTTTGCACAGTTTCTAGTTTTTGCATGTACAATAACATATTTTTTTACAGATTTTTGCGATGGGGTCGATTTCCCAAATTTCTGAAAAATGACCCACTTAACAAGGAATGACCCTAATCTGTTTAATTGGCTCTAGGGTACAAGGGGTTAAAAATGTTAATGTGGTTTTTCGTACAGTCAACAAGCTAAAAATGTGGTTTTTCGTACAATCAGGGGCCATAATCCAGGAAGTTATGGTCTGATATGCGCGAATATCCAAAGGAACCGAATTCTTTAAGATATAAACATATATTTTAAGTTTCATCAAAATCAGATAAAAATTGTGGGGTCCACAAACATGGTATGACATATTTTTACACTATTTGTGTTTAAAGAGTGGCCATTTTGTCAGACAGTTTTGGTCCGATTTGCACAAAATTCAAACTCAACCATCCTCATGGCCATATATTTGAGCAGTTTTTGGGTTATAAACATACATTTCAAGTTTGAACAAAATCAGATAACAATTTTGATCTCTAGAGGGAGAATAACTATTTGCAGACAGGGAGCGGCCATTTTGTCCGGCGGTTTCTGTCTGATTTTCACGAATTCGAACTCAACCATCATTAGGATGTAACAGTGATATTTTTAAACGGTTTTTAAAATTGAATACCAATAGTGACTTATAGATCTTTGTGATATAACCATACATTTAAAGTTTTATGAAAATTGGATCAAAACTGTGACTTCTAAAGGGTACACAACCTTGATATACAATTCTTTTACACTACCGTATATTTGCGTATGAGAATTTTCATGAAATTTTAACTCAAATGTCATTAGAGGGACCACAAGCTAAAAACATGATTTTCCATACAATCTGGGACCATAATCCAGGAAGCTACAGTCTGATAAAACGGAATATCGAAAGGAACCGAGATCTTTGGGTTATAAACATACATTTCAAAGTTTCATTAAAATCGGATACCACAAGTTAAAAGCGTGATTTTTCGTATGATCAGGGACCATAATCATTGAAGCTATGGTCTGATACAAGCCAATTTCGAAAGGAACCAAGATCTTTGGGAGATAAACCTATATTTTAAAGTTTGTCAAAATCGGATAAAAATTGTGACCTGTAAAGTGTCCACAAACAAATTGTGGATGGACAGACAGGGGCAACAGCAATATACATTAGTAACAGTAAGCGAAAATATGTAACACTTAGTCCATAAAATCAACACTCATTTTGTGTGTTACCATCCGTCAAATTCCATCCCTGTTATCACCAAATTGCAGCAATTTTGCAAAGTTTAATGATAGAATAATTGGCATTTGTAAAATTAGGCTTGTGGAGTAAAAAGGGATAATATTACCATGGATCATGTTCACTAAGTTTTTCAGCTTCTGTAAACAGTTGTAAACAATCCTTTAATTGTATTACTTGCTTCTTCTGTGGATTTTTATTTTTACCACTTTCATGCTCTTCAACAGACTAAAATCAAGAAGAAAACATTCTCATATAATTTAAACTTCAGAAAACAATGGATGCACTTTCCAATCCACTATTTGATATATGGATATAATACAAGCTATAGGAAGAATAAAGTTAATAATCTCTAAAATCAGCGGTTGCCATGCAAGATACGGCCACATTTTGCAAGAGCTGGATAGCTAAAAAAAAGAAAATGTGATTTTTCGTACAATCATGGGCCATAATCCAGTATATTATGGTCTGAAATGCGCGAATATCGAAAGGAAATGAGATCTTTAGGATATAAACATATATTTTAAGTTTCATCAAAATCGGACAAAAATTGTGACCTCTAGAGGGTCAACAACCTTGGTATTACATACTTTTATACTATTTGCGTACAAGGAGCAGCCATTTTGACGGGCAGATCTGTTTCGGATTTTCCCAAATTTCGTATTCAACCTTCATTATGGTGCAACGATGATAAAGATAGGTTGCCAGCAGGGCTGCCGACAACCAGTATCGCAGCGCAATTTGCGATACATATTTTGTCCGTTGCTAACCAAAAATTAAAATCTAACGTTTTTGATTCGCAGTTACTGCAAATCATTAATATGCCGGTCATTTTGGATATTGACACAAGAATAATCCACATTTTGAAGACTAGAAGGCTTACTCAACACTTTCAACGTCAGGGCTGTCGGTAATTTTTCACAGTTGATTAGCAGCACTGCTAATCAAAAAGTCCAATTTTGCCAAATTTAATTAGCAAATTTAAAAATTGATTAGCAGTTTTTCAGTTTCAACATAAAAACCTAAATAACAAGATATTACTTTAGTTCATAACAAATATGATTAGATTCCATTCTTACTATTCTTAGATTTTTTTTAGCACTGCCACAAGTACTTGTGACAGTTTGTGAATGTGATGTAGACATTTAGTTAGGTCTTATGTCTGAATCCAATTCTTAACAGTGACTTCCAAGGCCCCAATCATTTTAATTGTTATTTTTTGTTACGTTAGAAATCTTCGTTAGAAAACAATTTTGTCTGCTTTTTATCGTGTATTGCTATTTTTGTTCAATCGGGCGCACCTCGATTAACTAGACACACGCGATATTTTACGGGAATTTTTACTTTGATTTATCATTTTACAATACGTTAACATATATTTATTTTTTTATATTTTATTTACAATACGTGGGGGATATACTGGCTTTATTTCTTTCAAAATGAATATAATATAATTACTTGATGTCTCGCAACGTGAGTGGTACTACTTGATTCCCTATTTCCGGTTTAATAGTCCCTATTCATAGAGTTATGTCCCTGTATTATATAGTACCGTATAATGAATTGTGTCTGGGTAGTTCGAGAAAAAAATGTCACACAGAGAATTCAGTTTTGTTTATAAAATTTTATTCAACATTTTATACACGTTGAAAGTGTTCAGAAAGCCTTCTAGTCTTCAAATGTGGATTATCCTTATGTCAATATCCAAAATGACAGGCATATTAATGATTCGCAATAACTGCGAATCAAAAACTTTAAATTTTAATTTTTGATTAGCAACGGACAAAATATGTATCGCAAATTGAGCTGCGATACTGGTTGTCGGCAGCCCTACTTTCAACGTGTATAAAATGTTGAATAGAATTTTATAAACAAAACTGAATTCTCCGTGTGTCATTTTCTTCTCGAACTACCTAGACACAATACTATATAACATAGGGACATAACTCTATGAATAGGGACTATTAAACCGGAAATAGGGAATCAATTAGTACCACTCACGTTGCGAGACATCAAGTAATTATATCATATTCATTTTGAAAGAAATAAATCCAGTGTATCCCCCACGTATTGTAAATAAAATATAAAAAAAATAAATACATGTTATCGTATTGTAAAATGATAAATCAAAGTAAAAATTCCAGTAAAATATTATTGTTTATATCGCGTGTGTCTAGTTAATCGAGGTGCGCCCGATTGGACAAAAATAGTAATACACGATAAAAAGCAGACGAAATTGTTTTCTAACGAAGATTTCTAACGTAACAAAAAAATAACAATTAAAATGAGTGGGGCTTCGGAAGTCACCGTCAAGAATTGGCTTCAGACATAAGACCTAACTAAATGTCTACATCACATTCACAAACTGTCACAAGTACTTGTGGCAGTGCTAAAAAATCTGAGAATAGTCAGAATGGAATCTAATCATATTTGTTATGAATTAAAGTAATATCTTGTTATTTAGGTGTTTTACGTTGAAACTGAAAAACTGCTAATCAATTTTTAAATTTGCTAATCAAATTTGGCAAAATTGAACTTTTTGATTAGCAGTGCTGCTAATCAACTGTGAAAAATTACCGACAGCCCTGGTTGCCAGGCCCACAAAACATTTTGGAAACACTCAGATATGTTAACGTTTTTCAAAGTGATCAAGGGCCAAAAATTTGGCAGTATTTATTGGAAATTGTTGAAAATAAATAGGCTTTTTTGTCTCATGACCGTAAACACTACACGAGTAGGAATTTAAAGTCATTCGATATGAACTTTATTCTCTAGAGTGTCAACAAGATTTTTCAAAGTGATCAAGGGCCATAACTCTGGCAGTAATTATCGGAAATCAGTGAAAATCAATAGGCTTCCTCACCTCATGACCTGAAACATTGTCAATGAATTTAAAGTCATTCGGATATTAATTTTAGCATCATCAAACTTAGTCAAGGTAATGATATAATGAATCTATACCCAGAGCTTCATCACTCTCACTTAATTAAAACCAAAGTTATTGGACACAAAGCATCAACCAATCAGATTTCTTATCTCTGCTTACCGTAAGCAAACGATGTTTATCATCGAACTCCATCAAGGCATTCACCTAATGAACACCTACACCAAGTTTGACCATTCTACCTCAACAAGAAGGAGAGTTATTGTGTTTCAAAGTCTCGACCAATCAAATTGCTTATCGCTCTGCTTACCCTAAGCAGAAAATGCTTATTATGGAATTTAGTCAAGGTATTGATGTGATAAAACCATACACCAAGTGTCATTACTGTCACTTCATTACTGTCATTAGAACTAAAGTTATCGTGTCCAAAAGCATCAACCAATCAAATTGCTTATTTCTGCTTGCCCTAAGCAGAAAATGCCCATCTCCGAACTCCACCAAGTTTGAACGTTCTAGCTCAATTAGAAGGAGAGTTATTGTGTTCCAAAGTCTCGGCCAATCAAATTGTTTATTGCTCTGCTTACCCTGAGCAGAGGTCATACGAGAGGCTTTTGACCTACGATGTCAGACATCTGATTAACTAATCAGCATTGATGTTACTAGTGGATTACCCACAGTTCCGCGCAAAACAAGCCTAAAGCTTGCCGTAACAGACCCGTTTCATTGGCTAATAGCTCACATAATTCAGAACACGTCAATGATAACAACTCTTCCAGATCCTAGTGTAGTAAAGACAAGTAAAACGAAATTTTGAACTATAAAAATGAAATGAAATAGGATCTGTGTTTTAATCAGATTCCATTACAGTGTAACAGTGATATATTCAAACGATTTTTTGAATCGGATAATAATTGTGACCTCTACAGGGACCACAAGCTAAAAGCGTGATTTTTCGTACAATCAGGGTCCATAATTCACGAGGTTAAGATCCAATATGCGCGAATATCAAAAGGTACCAAGATCTTTGGGATATTAACATGCATTCCAAGTTTCATCAAAATCAATGAAAATTGTGACCTCGGGGGGGGGGGGGGGGGGTTCCACAACCTTGACAAATCGGCCACTTCCGCCTTCATTTCTATCGGGTTTGGAGCTCAAAGTACGGCAATAAACTTGCTCTAACTTGACTGAATGAAAAATCTAACATGCCTTTCGACTTTGTGGAATAACAATCTATAATTCTACTGATCTTTTTTTTGAAAATCTTATCAGCTTCCAGAGAACAGACGTAGGCCTATTTTCTTCATGATCACCATCAAAACATTGAAGAATCCATTATGTCGTAAATTTTATGTTAATTAGATTGCCATTACTTAGATTTTCCTTTTTCTCACTGTTTTATTGTCGATTTGGGATGATACGAATATTTAGTATATATTAAAGACGTCTCTATTCATTTGAATACAGCTGTTCTGTATTGTATTCTGTTGTAGACTGTGAAAATTTGGGATCCATGTGTCGACGCTTTAAATCACATGGATCCATTAAACCTTCTAACTGTTTAATTCCATTTTTTTCATTGAAGATTCTTATATTACAAATCTTTCCTTACACTAGAAACGTAATCACTGGATATACCATATTTTACACTATTTGCGTACAAGGGGCGGCCATTTTGTTCGGCAGTTTTGGTCCGATTTTCACGAAATTCGAACTCAACCATCATTAAGGTGTAACGGTGATATATTAAAACAGTTTTTTAAATCAGGTAAAAATTGTGACCTCTAGAGGGACCACAAGCTAAAAACACACTTTTTCGTACAATCAGGGGCCATAATCCATGAAGTTACGATCTGATACATGCCAATATCGAACGGAACCAAGATCTTTGGGAGATAGACCTATATTTCAAGTTTCGTCAAAATCGGATAAAATGACAATATACGTCCACATGAAAATGTGGGCGTATAATAAAAATGACTGTAAGAGTAGGACTATAAAGGTTAACAAAGTTTATTGAAGTTTAATTGTATTGTCTGTTAATATAATGAATATCCAAGATTAGCATACAATCAGCAACTTCTCACGAGGTCAGTGGCTTTTTTCATGCATTAGCCACAGTGGCTAATGAATTTTAGAAGCTAGTGCCACAAACTAAAATGACGATTTTTCATACAATCAGGGGCCATAATCCATTATGCGCGAATATCGAAAGTAACCAAGATCCTTGTCCACGGACAAGAGCTATAATATAGGTCCCCATGAAACTGTGGGGTATCAAAAATGATTTGCTATTTTTTTTATCATTCATTTCATTTAATATTTATAATAAAATATTTTTCTCTACCTCTGCTTCTTTTTCGTCATAAAATTTTTCTTTAGCAACAGTATGCCAATCAACAGCTACATAAGTTTTTGCTAAAAAAAACCAAACAAATACAATATTGCAATGAAACCGGTACTATTTACAAAGTGCAATGGAATGGTTTTAAGTTAACCAAGCCAAGAGTGAGGCCGGTTTTCCCCACCGAAATCCCCCCAAAAATAGCTAACACATATCAATTAATTGCATTTATTTTTTTCAAAAACATTGAGCAATCTAAGTCTAAGCATAAAATGTTCACAATCAAACTCAGTCAAGGTTTTGAAGTACCTGGTAGTGAAACTCTACACCAAGTTTCATTACTGTCCATCAGTTAGAATCAAAGTTACCTTGTTCCAAAGCATCGACCAATGAAATTACTTAGCTCTGCTTAGCTTTAGTGGGAAATGTTAATCATTGAATTCAGTCAAGACATTCACCTAATTAACATCTACATCAAGTTTAAACATTCGACCTTAATTAAAAGCAGAGTTATATTCCAAAATCTTGGCCAATCAAATTGCTTATCGCTACTTAGAGTAGAAAATTCGCATCATCGAACTTAGTCAAGGTATTGATATAGTGAATCTATACTCTGAGTTTCATCACTCTCATCCAATTAGAACCAAAGTTATTGTGTTCCATGGTCTCAAATTGCTTATCTCGGCTTAGCCTAAGTGGAAAATGGGCATGATCAAACTCTGTCAAGACATTCACCTATACCAAGTTTGAATATGCTACCTCAATTAGAAGTAGAGTTATTGTGTTCCAAAGTCTCGACCATTCAGATTGAAGTCTCTACTTTGCCTAGGCAGAAAATGTTCAGCATCAAACTTTGTTAAGTAAGGTATTGACGTAATAAAACTATTCACGAAGTTTCACCACTATCACTCAATTAGAATCAAAGTCTCGACCAATCAAATGGCTTATACCAAGTTTTATCACTCTGACTTTTAAAATTAGAACCAAAGTTATCGTGTCTCAAAGCATCAACCAATCAAATTACTTATCTCTGCTTACCCTAAGCAGAAAATGCTTATCTTTGAACTCCATCAAGGCATTCACTTAATGAACGCCTACACAAAGTTTGAATATATACCGCAATTAGAAGTAAAGTTATTGTGTTCCAAACTCACAACCAATCAAATTGCTTATTGCTCTGCTTACCCTGAGCAGAAAATGCTCATTATCGAACTTAGTCAAGGTATTGATGTAATGAAACTATAACCAAGTTTCATCACTCTCAATTAATTAGAACTAAAGTTATTGTGTCACAAAACATCATCCCATCAAATTGCTTATCTCGGCTTACCCTAAGCGGAAAATGCTCATCTTCGAAATCCATCAAGGCATTGACCTAATAAACACCTACACAAAGTTTGAACATTCTAGCTCAATTAGAAGGAGAGTTAGGCCGTGTTGAATTGATTCCTTGTTTCTCCTCGCCCGCGCGCTTAGGTCGAGGACCCCCGAAAATCGTGCGCTTACGTTTTTAACACAAAAAAAATATTCAAAAAATTACGTTAATAACATCTAAATAAAATTCTACCAAACATCAGAAGTCAATTCTCGTTGTTTATTCCTCGTTACGAACTAAATAAGTAAGTGCAGGGGGGCGCACTACACGAAAAACAAAAATCTACAAGATAAACCTGCGGACAAGACAGAAAATAGGCTTACCCAATCATATCTTGTGTAATAAATACCGCACGCCTTACAAAATGGTAAGCTATGCCGGGACATAGGTAAATTCGCGTACCAGTCGGGCTAATTTATTGATGTTCAAGGAAATAATAGTGGTCCTGTTCGCTCGTTCGTTCGTTTCTGGAGTTTAACGAACGAACGAACAAACGGGACCACTATTATTTCCTTGAACATCAATAAATAAATTAGGCCGACCGGTACGCGAAATTACTTATCTCGACTCGACTTTAGTGGTTATTCCCAGCACTTTCACGTTCGATGATATTATCGAAACCATCTATAACTCAACAAGCAAATCAAATATCGTCTAACTGGAATGTTTCCATTGTATTTTAACACAAGAATACGGAAAATTTATATCAAAATATGGTTATTTCATTTTTTAAAAAGTTAAACAAAGAAGCCACTTGTTACCAAATTTTAGTTTGTTATTAAATTTATTTAATTAAATATTATCTGTGTTTTTATTCTAACCAATAATATAACTAGATTATTTATAATATTATTAAAAATGGTACACAACCCTCAGACTATATAGGTATTATGCGAGACCACTTTGTGTTTTGAAACCCACTTTGTGTTGTGTTTACCGCACTACCGAACATGATTGCCAGAGTGGTGACACTACCGCACATGATTGCCAGAGTGGTGGCAGGAGAAACAAGGAATCAATTCAACACAGCCTTAGTATGCCCCAAAAAGACCCATTTTAATAGTTCAATGCTTTCCCAAAAGGCGAGGGACAATTAGTCAGCAACATGGCCATTATGACATTCTATATATATAAGCCTGCAGCCGAAATTAACATATGCTACAAAGAAGTCAATCAATTAATTGAACCCCTGACACATTTTTACACAGTTATTTCATCAACAATGATGATGAACATCCAGTTAAACTGTGTCAATGGCAATTACATGTAGTAGTAGAACTGGAAATACATAGCACACAATTCTTAGTAATTTACTGGGCAATGTTTGGAATAGGATTCTCTGGTAGTAGTATCTGTTTGTTACATCCCACTTCTACTCGTTGCCACTGGCAACCTTTGATAAAACTGTCCTGTTTATTTTCAATACATGCTTAAAAGTATCCGTGTATCAGAAATATACAGAAAGAGTACTGTTCATTTCTGATACACGGATACTTTTATACTGTTTTAGATACCTATCAAGCAATAAGTAGCGGACGTTTAGTGCGACCCAGATCGCAATTGATAACTATGGCTCTATACAATGCACAAGGATAATGTACATGAAACAACTAGTCAAAATCATAGTAACAAAATAAACTGGGGGGAACTACATGGCAGTTCAAAAACATATACAATGACATTAAATTAACATAAAAACATATTACAAAAATCAATTATTATACATATATCAATTGGCATCTATTTCATAATTTGGTTTGATTTATATTAATATGAAAAATATATAAATTAGAATATTGAATAATTATTTTAATTAATTGTGATGATAGAAGGCGCAGTTCTCTTGCTGGACACTTCACAGGCATTGAAAATAAACAGGATGAAAAAAAACGCCTAGAAAGTCATAAACTTTATTACAAATAAATTTCAACGGAAGAACCATCCGCCGATGCATACTTTCACCAGGAATGACCAACGTTTCGCATTTCCGTTACACTACATTTAATAATATCGCAGTCCTCTACGCCATAGACAAGTTGTTTTCACGATGTGGTCTAAACAAACACGGGATTGTTTTACGCTCAGAGTATCATAGCAAGATGCACGTGTAAATACTACTCAGGTTGTCTCTCCACTGCAAAATCATTCTACCATGAAATGTAACGTGAGGCTCAGAAAGGGATAAATGAAAGAGCAGAAAGTATTTGTCACTTTTCGGTTGAAACGACTCGATAATAAATACAATTTTTCACATTTTGTTTCACAATACTCGATAGAAATGTGATGTAACTTATTAGCACCTTTCCTCGGTGTATCGGAGAATATCAGGACAGTTTTCGTCGGGAGCCGATACACCTCAGAAAGTGTGCTAATAACTATTACATAAATGCTGGATAATCCTAGTCCAAACATCACTCAGTAATAAACAGTCATTTCATTCCACAGAATTGTACCCTGTGAAACTGTGCAACAAAAAATGTTAAACACACACACAGATAACTACAAACTAGTGAAAATATACATACGGGTAATTCTAAGATGACTTCCATCATCTATAAATTTGTGATCTAATTCGGCACTACCATAAGAATTAACTGCAGAGAAGGTAAAAAGACGACGAGCTTTACAAGATTTACTTTCACCATTATCTTTCTTTTTATCTTCTAATTCATCATCACTTTCACATACGTCCATATTACTTACTTCTGTAAATAATATATTAAATATACATTTCTTTTTATAATAATATTTGATCCTACTTACTTGGAAACAAATGAAATGAAATGAAATGTGGTTTAACGTCCTACAGTTCTGCTCCGAACTGGGCTAATGAATGGCACATGATTATCGATTCCTGTGTTCAGAAATAAGTTCATGCGTGCACCTTTCTTTCAAGATTTTGGGCATACACCATACAGTGTGTGATGAGGGAAATTTTGCACAGACAGCGGCACTACCGCCTACTCAATAGGCTTGTTCGTTTTACTAGTTTAAATGATACATATAAATTTCATACAGATCGGATAATAACTTTTGTCGTTAAAGCATTCACAAGGTACAACAAAGTGAAACAAGGGCCATAAATTGCTGAAATTCAATAGGATTCTTCGTTGCACTAATTTAAATGATGGATATCAATTTCAAACAGATCGGATGATAACTGTTGTCATTAGAATGTTCACAAGATTCAACAAAGTGAAACAAGGGCCATAACTCTAGATGTAATTAACGGCAATTGCTTAAATTCAATAGGCTTCTTTGTTTTACTAATTTAAATGATGCATATAAATTTCATACAGATTGGATAATAACTTTTGTCGTTAGAGCATTCACAAGGTACAACAAAGTGAAACAAGGGCCATAACTCACGCGTAATTAACGGAAATTGCTGAAATTCATTAGGCTTCTTCGTTTCACTAATTTAAATGATGCATATCAATTTCAAACAGATCGAATCATAACTGTTGTCATTAGAGCGTTCACAAGATTCAACAAAGTGAAATAAGGGCCATAACTCAAGATGTAATTAACGGAAATTGCTGAAATTCAATAGGCTTCTTTATTTTATTAATTTAAATGATGCATATAAATTTCATACAGATCGAATAATAACTTTTGTCGTTAGAGAATTCACAAGGTACAACAAAGTGAAACAAGGGCCATAACTCATGGCGTAATTAACGGAAAGTGCTGAAATTCAATAGGCTTCTTCGCTTCACTAATTTAAATGATGCATATCAATATCAAACAGATCAGATGATAACTGTTGTCATTAGAGCGTTCACAAGATTCAACAAAGTGAAACAAGGGCCATAACTGAAGATGTAATTTACGGAAATTGCTGATATTCAATATGCTTCTTTGTTTTACTAATTTAAATGATGCTTTTAAATTTCATACAGATCGATTGATAACTTTTGTTGTTAGAGCGTTCACAAGGTGCAACAAAGTGAAACAAGGGCCATAACTTCAGAAGAAATTAATGGAAATTGCTGAAATTTAATAGGCTTCTTCATCTCACTAATGCAAACAACATATATCAATTTCAAAACAATCATATGATAAATGTAGTCTGTAGAGTGTTCACAAGAAATTGTGGACGATGGACGGACGGACGGATAAAAATGGTGATTACGCTTAAATTCAATCCCAACCGTCGTCTACTTATGATAACCATTATCCTTAAGTTTGAAAAAGATTTGTCAAAAATTGTGGCCTCTTGCGAGCAGATATATAAAAATATTGTACCTCCATTAACAGGTTTATCAGTATCACCATTTTCTTCATTAGTTTCCATTTCCTCTTTATCTTCATCTTTCCACCATTCCTCTTTTGGATCAGGTACCTTTACATAACGCCTTTAAAAATAATTATTTACTTATTGTCATGTATTGTTTAATTTAACTTATATACGTCAACTTATACATGGTCCACAGCTGGGATCTCGGATGACATACTGGCTAGTGGAATGAAGTGTCTCAAAACAAGTAAGAATTTCATTCCTTGTGTACTAAAACTGTCACATGATATTATGGTTATTGTATATAGTAAGACAGAAAACTCAATCTAATATTAGAAACTTAAGCTGTTGTACATATTAATACAAAGTCATTGGATTTAAAAAGATGATGAAAATAAACCACACTCACTTCATCTGTACTAATAACAGATCATAGAGCATATCATATGTAACTTTTCCTTTAACTGGTATAAATAAAGGTGTTCCAAATAGCTGATCTCTACCTCCATAGTTAGTACTAGGTCGTGAACGTCTGTAACATAAATTTTACAATTAAGTAAGCTTAATCCCAAGAACATTTCCATGAAAGTCAATGATTTAATTAGTTAAATAAATATTAGAGAATGTAACTGTTGTTAATCAATTAAATCCATATCATAATCAAATTTTGAAATTATTGTCCATTGAACGTAGAAAAGTTTTGTTCTATTTCAGACAGAATACTGTTTCATACTGTTATTTACAGGGCTTGACACTGCCGGCGGCCTCGACGGCCATGGCCTCCGATTTTTAGAATATCGATAATCTACATTGAAATGTCAATTGATAATCGATAATATCGAAACAAACTTATTTTCATGGTCGAAATCAAGACTGGATTACGTGTTTCAAAGTGAAAACCATACGTATATAAATTGTTCTCTATTTTTAAAATAATAAAGCCTTGGTTCTGAATGAAGAAATACCATTGATAGGCCTATGTATGTGTAGGAACCAAAATAAAATGAACACGAATCGATTTGGCAAATTCTACGATATGGCGACAATTGTTTCAAACTCAGAGTATTGTTTAAATGAGGGCGAATTGATTTTAACATTTTTTTTTAAATGCAACATTGAGACTTTGAAGTAAATAAAGTGAACAACGTACTGATGTAGGCTATTGTGTTTTTATATATACGAAGGACTAACTCACAGAAAACATCGAGTCGACTCCTCCTACGCACGCACAAAAAATAGAGAACGATAATCGATAGTAACATATGACTATCGATAGTGCTTTTTTGGCACGCCTAATCGATACTATCGATTTACATCCATATTTTACTCAGCTCTACCGATGATATAGTAATACTTTCAACTTTCAATACGGCTACATGCCGATTTTTAAAATATTTTTCAGAATAACAAATCGTACTAAAATTTAAAAACGGTACGATAAGATTTTATCCCCCACCCCCATCCAGCCTTAAACATATAAGGATGCATTATTTTATTTTTGTAAATGTAAAAAAAAACAAGCCAACAGTGAGGCTGATGTCCCCCGCCGAAATAGGAAAATAATTAGAGGACACATATAAATTTATCACAAATTATCTTTTACAAAGTATTGAACAATCAAACAGTATATCTTTACTTATAGTCTAACAATCAAAGTAGGAGAGTTATTGTTTTCCAAAGTCTCGACCAATCAAATTGCGTATCGCTCTGCTTACCCTGAGCAGAAAATGCTCATTATCAAACTTAGTCAAGGTATTACTGTAATGAAACTATACACCAAGTTTCATCAATCTCACTTAATTAGAACTAAAGTTATCGTGTCCCAAAGCATCAACCAATCAAATAGCTTATCTCTGCTTACCCTAAGCGGAAAATGCTCATCTTCGAACTCCATCAAGGCATTGACCTAATCAACACATACACCAAGTTTGAACATTCTAGCTCAATTAGGAAGAGAGTTATCGTGCCCCAAAGTATCAACCAATCAAATTGCTTATCTCTGCTTACCCTAAGCGGAAAATGCTCATCTTCGAACTCCATCAAGGCATTGACCTAATAAACACATACACCAAGTTTGAACATTCTAGCTCAATTAAAAGTTATCGTGTCCCAAAGCATCAACCAATCAAATTGCTTATCTCTGCTTACCCTAAGCGGAAAATGCTCATCTTCGAACTCCATCAAGGCATTGACCTAATCAACACATACACCAAGTTTGAACATTCTAGCCCAATTAGGAAGAGAGTTATCGTGTCCCAAAGCATCAACCAATCAAATTGCTTATCTCTGCTTTCCCTAAGCGGAAAATGCTCATCTTCGAACTCCATCAAGGCATTGACCTAATAAACACATACACCAAGTTTGAACATTCTAGCTCAATTAGGAAGAGAGTTATTGTGTCCCAAAAAGTGTGACGGACAGACAGACGGACAGACAGACAGACAGACAGACAGACAGACAGACGGACGAACCCATTTTAATAGTCCCCTGCTTTCTTCGAAAGGCGGGGGACAAATATTGAACGTCGAGCGTGATTTGATAGTCAGGCCTGTAACAACATTTTAACTGAGAAAATAAACAGATTTACATATGACATATTAAAACTTTCTAAAACTTGACCTTGGATTTTCAATTTTTGGCCTTGGATCAAGGATTCACTTTGGCCTAGCGTAGGCCAAAGTTGGCCTTCGATCGAAAACCAGCTGCTGCCAGGCAGGATACGCCCACATTTTCGAGAGATGGATAGAGAACAAGCTAAAAAGAAATTGATTTTTCGTACAATCAGGGGCCATAATTCAGGAAGTTACGGTCCAATATGCTCGAATATCGAAAGGAACCGAGATCTTTGGGTTATAAACTTACATATCAAGTTTCAACAAAATCGGATAAAAAATTGTGACCCCTTTAGGATCCACAACCTTGAAATACCATATTTTTACGCTATTTGAGAATGAAGGGCGGCCATTTTGTCTGTCAGTTTTGGACCGATTTTCAGGAAATTCGAACTCAGTCGTCCTTAGGGTGTAACAGTGATATAATAATACGGTTTTTTAAATCGGATAAAAATTATGACCTCTATAGGGTCCACAAGCTAAAAACATGATTTTTCGTACAATCAGGTGCCATAATTCAGGAAGTTACGTTCCGATATGCGCGAATATCGATAGGAACCAAGATCTTTGGGTTATAAACTTACATTTCAAGTTTCATCAAAATAGGATTAAAATTGTGACGTCTATATTCCACAACCTTGATATACCATATTTTTACACTATTTGAGAACGAAAGACGGCCATTTTGTCTGTCAGTTTTGGGTTGATTTTCACGAGATTCGAACTCAGCTGTCCTTAGGGTGTAACGGTGATATAATAATACCTTTTTTTAAATCGGATAAAAATTATGACCTCTATAGGGTCCACAAGCTAAAAACATGATTTTTCGTACAATCAGGTGCCATAATTCAGGAAGATACGTTCCGATATGCGCGAATATCGATAGGAACCAAGATCTTTGGGTTATAAACTTACATTTCAAGTTTCATCAAAATAGGATTAAAATTGTGACGTCTATATTCCACAACCTTGATATACCATATTTTTACACTATTTGAGAACGAAAGACGGCCATTTTGTCTGTCAGTTTTGGGCTGATTTTCACGAGATTCGAACTCAGCTGTCCTTAGGGTGTAACGGTGATATAATAATACCTTTTTTTAAATCGGATAAAAATTATGACTTCTATAGGGCCCACAAGCTAAAAATGCAATTTTTCGTACAATCAGGGGCCATAATTCAGGAAGTTACGGTCCGATATGCGCGAATATCGAACGGAACCACGATCTTTGGGTTATAAACTTACATGATAAGTTTCAACAAAATCCGATAAAAATTGTGACCTCTATAGGGTCCACAACCTTGATATACCATATTTTTACGCTGTTTGAGAACGAGGGGCGTCCATTTTGTCTATCAGTTTTTGGCCGATTTTCACAAAATTCAAACTAAGCCATCCTTAGGGTTTAACGGTGATATAATAATACGTTTTTTTAAATCGGATTAAAATTATGACCTCTATAGGGTCCACAAGCTAAACACGCGATTTTTCGTACAATCAGGGGCCATAATTCAGGAAGTTACGTTCCGATATGCGCGAATATCAAAAGGAACCGAGATCTTTGGGTTATAATCATACATTTCAAGTTTAAACTAAATCGGATAAAAATTGTGACCTCTACAGTGTTCACAAGCTAAAAACGCGATTTTTCGTACAATCAGGGACCATAATCCATGAAGTTAGAGTACGATACATGCCAATATCAAAAGGAACCGAGATCTTAGGGTGATAAACCTATATTTCACGTTTCATTGAAATCGGATAAAAATTGTGATCTGTAGACTGTTCACAAACATTTGTGGAGGAACGGGCGGACAGGGGAGACGACAATATACGTCCACATGAAAATGTGGGCATATAAAAACGAATTTCGAGCCCTGGTTATTTACGTACAGCAGTGACCGCCCTAGACATTTTTCCAAAGGCGATAATTCTTTTTATTGGCAATCAAATTGATGATACTGGCGAAAGTTTTGGTGAATGAATTTTAAACTTGAAATCATCTCGTTCAACACTTCTTTCGATTGATTTCATGTAGTGTCTATTTTTAGTACATGTACATTAAATGACTTTGGTCTCAATCTTAAAAGTCACAAATTAGTCAATAGTTACGCATTAAAACGATCGATTGAGTCTCGAGACTGTTAACTATCAAACACAGTTATGTCCATTTTGAGTGGTGCTGCTATGTTTACTTAAGCTTAGCTACACAAATGCTTACCTACAATTTTGTCTATTCACACAACACACTTTTACACATAATACTGACTAGGTGGAAAAGGTGATTTTGAGATTATAATTATACACTTGATTTTATTAGCTTTCCACGTAGATCTCCACATTCTTTTTACAAAACCTTTCACAGTTTCAAAGTCAGATGAAAAGTTTTTTTTTTTTTTTTATGGTGGCTCAAAGTTGCGATTTTTGACTTTTCACAGAAGACAGGTTTTTTTTCATAGTTTGGAAAAAGTCTTTTTTGTGATTTTTAGTCATGCTCTATTTCATTTCATAGTAAAACTATCAACCAGCGGTTGCCAGGCAGGATATGTCCACATTTTCGAGAGATGGATAGAGAACAAGCTAAAAAGGAAGTGATTACAATTACAAGGGTGTAACGGTGAAATAATAATACAGCTTTTAAATCGGATAAAAATTATGACCTCTATAGGGTCCACAAGCTAAAACCTCAATTTTTCGTACAATCAGGGGCCATAGTGCAGGAAGTTACAGTCCGATATGCGCGAATATCGAAAGGAACCGAGATCTTTGGGTTATAAACTTACATTTCAAGTTTCAACAAAATCGGATAAAAATTGTGACCTCTAAGGGTCCACAACCTTGATATACCATATTTTTATGCTATTTGAGAACGAAGGGCTGTTTTGGGTCGATTTTCATGAAATTCCAACTCGGCCGTCCTTAGGGTTTAACGGTGATATAATAATACGTTTTTTTAAATCGGATAAAAATTATGACCTCTATAGGATCCACAAGCTAAAAACGTGATTTTTCGTACAATCAGGGGCCATAATTCAGGAAGTTACGTTCCGATATGTGCGAATATTGAAAGGAACCGAGATCTTTGGGTTATAAGCATACATTTCAAGTTTAAACCAAATCGGATAAAAATTGTGACCTCTACAGTGTTCACAAGCTAAAAATGTGAATTTTCGTAGAATCAGGGGCCATAATCCATGAAGTTACAGTCTGATAAATGCCAATATTGAAAGGACCCAAGATCTTAGGGTGATAAACCTATATTTCACGTTTCATTGAAATCGGATAAAAATTGTGACCTGTAGACTGTTCACAAACAATTGTGGACGGACGGACAGGAGCGACGACAATATACGTCCACATGAAAATGTGGGCGTATAAAAATGTGATTTTGCGTACAATCAGGGGCCATAATTCAGGAAGTTACTATCCAATATGCGCAAATATCGAAAGGAACCATTATCTTTAGGTTATAAACATGCATTACAAGTTTCATCAAAATCGAAATAAAATTGTGACCGGTCCACAACCTTGATTTACCATATTTTTACACTATTTGCGTACGAACGGTGGCCATTGTGTCCGGCAATTTCGGTCCGATTTTCACGAAATTTGAACTCAGCCGTCTTTAGGCTGTAATGGTGATATAATAATACGTTTTTTTAAATCGGATAAAAATCATGACCTCTATAGGGTCCACAAGCTAAAAACACGATTTTTCGTAAAATCTGGGGCCACAATTCATAAAGTTACAGTCCGATATGTGTAAATATCGAAAGGAACTGAGATCTTTGGGTTATAAACTTACATTTCAAGTTTCAACAAAATCATATAAAAATTGTGACCTCTATAGGGTCCACAAGCTAAAAACGGGATTTTTCGTACAATCAGGGGCCATAATCCATGAAATTTCGATCCGATACATGCCAATATCGAAAGCAGCCAAGATCATTTGGGGATAAACCTATATTTCAAGTTTCGTCAAAATCGGATAAGAATTGTGACCTGTAGAGAGTCCACAAACAATTGTGGACGAACGGAGGGACGGACATACGGACGGACAGGGGCGACGACAATATACGTCCACATGAAAATGTGGGCATATTAAAATGATCTTGAGCATGTTATAAGGTAAGAATTGTAAGTTATCTTACCCCTTGTCTCTGAAGTATATAGGTAAAACTACTATATTAGGATCATCCTCTGTATTCTTTACACATACCTCATATCTATAATTAAAAACAAACTGTTATATCTCAATATACTTCCTCAGTCATTGATATCCTGCATGTCTGGACATGTTTTGGAAGGTAGGGGGATAAACAATCTCTGTGTTATTGGTAATCAACAACCAAATACTAGTCGTGGACATGTTGTTTAATTACCATATCTTATTCTTAAACAATTTATGAGATATGCTCCACAAAAAAGTAAATTTTGTTTCCATTGAAAACAAAAGTTATCAAAATCAGAAATTTGGTATGCAAAAGACGTAACTACCATGTATATACAAACGTAACTACCATGTATATACAAAATTTAAAACATCTATCTTGAAAGCTTATGAGATATGTTCCAGATACAAAATTATAGATCAAAAACTAAGTTAAATTTGTTTCCATGAATGCAAACTTGCATTTGTTTGTTTGGAATGGTAATGATGGAATCCCAGAAATGATGGAATCAAACAAACAAATCAAGGGATGTTGACATCTAAGTCTATTTCCAAAAACATACTTACGCATAAATAATATCTCTCTCTAATATATGATTGAGACCTTCTTCCTCTTTAAACACTTTATGGAATCGATGATTATATACATCTGTTATCTTGATCTAGTAAATATTAAAGATAGGTTGCCAGGCATTGAAACATACGCCCACAGCAGCTAAATCGTCCGGGCGGTCAACAAGAATTGTCACATATTTTTACTTTTTCGGTAATGAAACATTTATAATACATTAAAATCTGATTAAGAGTAACAACTCATTAAGTAATTATCAGAAAACCATTAGAATTGGTTTGGTTTTTATAAAGTTTTGCCCCATGCTAACGTTTAGTATAGGAAACTTTTAACATCATGGATTTAGCTGTTCAAGTCATAAAAATTCATTGCAAATCAATATACTTGTTTGTCTCAAGACCTTAAACTCTGTGTATGAATCTGAAGTCAATCGGATGATAACTTTAGCTTCTAGAGGGTCACAATGTTTTTAAAAGTGATCAAGGGCCATAACTTTGGCAGTAATTATCGGAAATCGTTGAAAATCAATATGATTCTTCGTCTCATGACCTCAAACAGTCTGTATCAATTTAAAGTCAATCAGATATTAACTTTAGCCTCTAGAGCATTTACAAGATTTTTTGAAGTGATCAAGGGCCATAACTCTGGCAGTAATTATCGAAAATCTTCGTCTTTAGACCTTTAACACTGTATATAAATTTAAACTCAATCGGATATTAACTTTAGCCTCTAGAGCGTCCACAAGATTTTTCAAAGTGATCAAGGGCCATAACTCTGGCAGTAATTATTGGAAATTGCTGAAAATCGATAGGCTTCTTCGTCTAATGACCTTAAACACTGTGTATAAATTTAAAGTCAATCGGATATTAACTTTAGCCTCTAGAGCCTTTACAAGATTTTTTCAAAGTGATCAAGGGCCATAACTCTGGCAGTAATAATCGAAAATCGCTGAAAATGAATAAACTTCTTCGTCTCATGACCTTAAACACTGTGTATAAATTTAAACTCAATCAGATATTAACTTTAGCCTCTAGAGCGTCCACAAGATTTTTCAAAGTGATCAAGGGCCATAACTCTGGCAGTAATTATCGGGAATCGCTGAAAATCAATAGGCTTCTTCGTCTTATGACCTTAAACACTGTGTATAAATCTAAAGTCAATCAGATATTAACTTTAGCCTCTAGAGCATTTACAAGATTTTTCAAAGTGATCAAGGGCCATAACTCTGGCAGTAATTATCGAAAATCGCTGAAAATGAATAAACTTCTTCGTCTCATGACCTTAAACACTGTGTATAAATTTAAACTCAATCAGATATTAACTTTAGCCTCTAGAGCGTCCACAAAATTTATCAAAGTGATCAAGGGCCATAACTCTGGCAGTAATTATCGGAAATCGCTGAAAATCAATAGGCTTCTTCATCTGATGACCTTAAACACTGTGTATAAATTTAAAGTCAATCGGATATTAACTTTGACCTCTAGAGCATCCATAAGATTTTTTGAATTGATCAAGGGCCATAACTCTGGAAGTAATTATCGGAAATTGCTGAAAATCAATAGGCTTCTTCGTCTCATGACCTTAAACACTGTGTATAAATTTAAAGTCAATCGGATATTAACTCTGACCGACGGACGACCACATTTCAATGTGGGCGTATAAAAACATCAATCGAATAATATTACAACAAAAATTCAGTCATTCAACTAAAAAGAACTCAATCTGAAAATACAACATAACTCAGGCATTCACAAGCAAGACGCTCTGTCGCTGTCGTGTTTCACCGCTCACCTCAATCCCAATCGAGGTGCGTATTTTATTGCCCACTTCGGTCCTATGTAATCGCTCTGCTGAACTGTGTATTTTATTTCCACAAAAAAATGTCAGAAATTGCAGAACATATACTCAAAGCCATTAAAAACGCAATGCCAAATTCAAAGTTTATTTACTGCAACAACTTTTAACAAGTGTACAAACGGGCACAAAATATCCAAATTTGTACGTAATAAAAATATGTGCACCTCGCTATTTTTCATATTTAATTCCTGTACGGTATTAAAATTTATGTATAATATTCCTACAAAATTACGTTCTTTTATAAAGAAAGCATGCTGACCCGTCTACTTCTTCAAATAAAGAACATTACATGTGATTACACATGTCATCCCTTGTCCTTATTTCCAAGAGAGTGATTCGAGGATAGCTTTTTTCAGCTCCCAATGATTTTTCAGACGTGAAGGCTCAATAACTCTTCAACAGAAAAAGATAGCCAAGCTAAGTGTGGAAATACACACACACAGCCAATAAGAGCTAATCTCAAAGGAAAACTTGGATATTGACCAAATTTGATAAGGCTGCCATCAAGAAAACAAGCTTGAAACAAGCCAACAGTGAAGCTGATGTCCCCCGCCAAAATCCCAAAATAAATAGATGACACATATTAATTTATCGCATTTATTTTTTTCAAAAGTATTAAGCAATCAAACTGATCATCAACTATACACTAAGTTTCATCGCTCTCTATCAGATAGAATCAAAGTTATCTTGTCCTAAAGCATTGACAAATGAAATTGCTTAGCTCTGCTTAGCTTTAGCTCGAAATGTTAATCATTGAACTCAGTCAAGTCATTCACCTAATGAACATCTACATCAAGTTTAAACATTCTACTTCAATTAAAAGCAGAGTTGTTATGTTCCAAAGTCTTGACCAATCAAATTGCTTATCGCTCCTTAGCCTACGCTGAAAATTCTCAACATCAAACTTAGTCAAGGTAATGATATAATTAATCTATACTCAAAGAGTTTCATCACTCTCAATTATAACCAAAGCTAACGTGCCCCAAAGCATCAACCAATCAGATTGCTTATCTCTCCTTACTGTAAGCAGAAAATGTTTATCATCAAACTAGATCAAGGCATTCCCCTAATGAACGCCTACACCAAGTTTGAAGATTCTACCTCAATTAGAAGGAGAGTTATTGTGTTACAAAGTCTCGACCAATCAAATTTCTTATCGCTCTGCTTACCCCGAGCAGAGTGTCCTCATTATCGAACTAAGCCAAGGTATCGATGTGATAAAACTATACACCAAGTGTCATCACTCTCACTTAATTAGAACTAAAGTTATCGTGTCCCAAAGCATCAACCAATCAAATTGCTTATCTCTGCTTAACCTTAGCAGAAAATTCTGATCTTCAAACTCCATCAAGGCATTCACCTAATAAACACCTATGCCAAGTGTGAACATTCTAGCTCAATTAGAACGAGAGTTATTGTGTTCCAAAGTCTCAACTAATGAAATTGGTTATCGTTCTGCTTAACCTGAGCAGAAAATGCTCATCTTCGAACTCTATCAAAGCATTGACTAAATAAACACCTATACCAAGTTTGGAGGTTGGGTGTTCGATCCCTGCATTGGCCGAGAAAGTTCATCCAGATTTTCTGGCGTGGTTTCCCCTTGTCAGTGATGCAGGACGGAGGGCCTGACAAGGACAGCTGTCTAGTCCTTCGGATGATATGAAAAACCGGGGTCCCGTGTATATATTGGAATGCACGTAAAAGATCCCCTGGCAGTTGGAATTCGATATAAGAGTAGGCGATAGTGCCGCTGCCCGGGCAAAATTTTCCTCATAGCACACTGTATGGCGTATGCTCGTCTTCATTAGCCCAGTATAGGAGCAGAACAGTAGGACGTTAAACCCCATTTCATTTCATTTCTCTAGGTCAATTAGGAGAGTTATTGTGTCCCAAAAAGTGTGACGGACAGACAGACACGGACGAACCCATTTTACAAATTGAAAAGAGGTCATAACTGAATATCAATGTTTGTCCTTTTGTAACCACAATGCTTCACAAACAAAACAACAAACAGTTGCCATGCAAAATAAGCAGACACTTTGCAAGCGATGGAAAGAGAACAAGCTAAAAGATAGGTTGCCAAGCAACGAAACATACGCCCACTGCAGCTAAATTATCCGAGCAGCCAGTAAGAGTTATCACATATTTATTCCTTTGTAGGTAATGGGAGCTTTCAACTTTTACAAGACAATGATATCAATTTTATACAGATTGAAAGAAAACTTTTGTTGTTCACAAAGGGTTTAACAAAGTGAAACAAGGGCACAACTCTAGAAGTTAGAAACAAAAATTGCTGGAATTCAGTAGGCTTTTTCGTTTTACTAATCTTAATACTGCATGTAAATTTAATACAGATCGGATAACTTTTGTCGTTATAGCGTTCACAAGTGGTTTTAAACAAAGTGAAACAAGGCCATAACTCTAGAAGACATAACTAGAAAGAGGTGAAATTCAATAGATTTCTTCGCTTTACTAATCTAAACAATACATATAACTTTCATACAGATAGGATGATAACTTTTATTGATAGAACGTTCACAAGGTTCAATAAAGGGCCATAACTCTAGAATTAATTAACGTACAATCTTGAAATTTAATAGGATTCTTTGTTTTACTGATCTAAATAAAGCATATATATTTTATACCGATCGGATGATATCTTATGTTGAAAGAATGTTAACAAGTTTCAACAAAGTGAAAAAAGGGCCAAACACTAGGAGGAAGATGTAAACGGAAAATGCTGAAATCCAAAAGGGATCTTTGTTTTACTTATCTAAATAATGCATATACATTTCATACAGATCAGATGATAACTGTGAGTTTAAGACAAAATAACATTCTGAATACAGAAAACATGGTAGAAAAATATAGTTAGCCCTCCCCTCCAAAATGCTAGATGTGTTCAAAATGTTTGTAATTATTTACCATTTTATGTGGAACATCTACCATTTTTGACAAGGCTTTGGTTAAATCACCTACACATCCAGATTTAGGCACTGTTAATCGAATCTGAAATCATATAAAATTCATTATACAGACTATAATGATGTTGGGCTAATAATATATTATCATGTAAAGATATATTGCCAGGCAACAAAACATGTGCCCACAGTAGCTAAATCGTCCAAACAGTCGACAAGGGTTGTCGCATATTTATTAGTTTGTAGGTAATGGGAGGCATTTACAAGTCAATTTCGTACAAATCGGATTATAGTTTTCATCATTTGAGGGTTCACAAGGTTCTACAAACTGAAACAAGGGCCTTAACTCTACAAGAAATTAACGGAAATTGCTGAAATTCAATAGGATTCTTACTTTCAATAATCTAAATAATGCATACAATTTTCATACAGATTGGATGATAACTTTTGTCATTCAAGCTTTCACAAGGTTCAACAAAGTAAAACAAGGGTCATAATTCTCTAGAAGTAAACTAATTGACGGAAATTGCTGAAATTCAATAGGATTCTTCGTTTCACTAATTTAAAGATACATTACGGGAGATTAGATAAAGAGCTGGCAGTTCTCACTATATATAAAAGTTACAAACTATATATAAAAGTTACAAACTAGATAATGTAAAGGGAATTTGCTGAAAATGTCAGTCAAATTGATCCACTCTGAACCAAGATTTTAGCGATTGAATTTTCGGCCTAGCCTCGATAATCATTGCTAAAGTCAGTACGATAAAAAACATAGTCTCGATTATCTATTTCATGATTAAATCATGAATGGAAGCTGAGCAGCAAATCGGATCCTAATCCAATAAGTATATCAGGCTAGCATTGACATCGAGAGTTGATTATGGTCTAGATTAGTTAATTAATGTCTAATTAATAATTTAGATAACATTTCAAGCTTAAAGAAAGACCTGCAATAGGCAGATTTAGCTCTTGCATAATGTATGTTTAAATGATGCATATAAATTTCATACAGATCGGATGATAACTTTTGTCGTTCAAACATTCACAAGTTTAAACAAAGTGAAACAAGGGTCATTCACAAGTTTAAACGAAGTGAAACAAGGGTCATAACTCAGTAATTAACGGAAATTTCTGAAATTTAATAGGCTTCCTCATTTCACTAATTCAAATAGTGCATATAATTTTCATACAGATTGGATGGTAACTTTTGTCATTCAAACTTTCACAAGGTTCAGTAAAGTAAAACAAGGGCCATAATTCTAGATGCAGGGACCGTACATAGATTTTTGTCAAAAATTTATATCTTTATGAAAGCTCAAATTTTATGATTATTTTTATAATGTTTTTATCACATGTCATGGCTTTTTATGTTTTTATCATTATGATTTTTTTCATATAGCTGCACTGACAGTAAATAACTTATCTCCTGTCCATGAAGTAGTGTTCAGCCAGTGGTATACGGATAAGAATTGGTGGTATTGATGGTCACAGTCATCTTCTCCTATGTTTATATACCCACATAACATTGACTGAACACTGTCAAATAGAAATTGAAAGAGGATAGCAAACTGGGGGTCATAAAATACCTGGATGATTTTCTAATTAACATCCAGATTTATTAGTATAGAAATTTATTATTGGGAGTAGTGATTTATGGTTAAAGGGCCAATCCCGATAATTTTTTGGAGAATAAAACCGCTTAATTTTGTGTTAAAATGCCTTAAAACCCACTACCTACGGGCCGAGCAACTAACTCAATATTTTTGATACTTTTGCAAACAACTTAAACCCGTCAGTCTTCATCTGGAAATGGAGACCGGTGTCCCAAACTGTATTATACGGTGTCTGGATAAAACCATACCTTTTGTTTATAAAAATAATGTGTAGGTGAAATTTACCGTCCACTATCAAGTACAGCACATGGGTCATTCACTGTATAGACCTCTCAAGAAACGGGAATCGATTATCAGGTCACCCAACGAAAAAATTGACCCGAAATCTTAAAAGGGTTACGTGTCCGGATAAGCAGTTTTGACGTTCACGTCCAAACGACTCAATATTTTGAGCTGAAATTTTGAGACATGGTCAATACACCATTCCTATATATTTTGGTGCTTAAATTTCATATGTACTCGGACTTTAATTTTTGAGACTCTTTTCTAATCGGGATAGTCCCTTTAATTTTATATTTTGAAAATTGTTCATCTGATTTTGTGATAATTTTATGAGAAATAGCGAAATTTCATATCTTTTATGATATTTTTCTTTTTTATGATAATTTTATGAGAAAGACGAAAGTTCATGAAAATATAAATGTTTTTTTACTTGGATCCCATCAAAGTTTATGTTATTGAAATGGTTTTGGATTCATCTCTATTTATATTTAAGATTCACATTTCCATGTAGGCATATAAAAACACATAGACATAATGTATACAAATTTTCTTTTATTTGTTTTTATTTTCTGTCAATTATACCTAAAAAATACAGAATGCATAACATTTCTCATTTAATGAAGCATTGAATGCTTCTGGGCTTATCAAACGTTAAGACTACTTACAACTTGTGGTTTTTCTTCAGGACTTAATGGTACCCATGTAACACTCATCTGTCTTTCTTTCTTTATGGGTAATGGCAGAGATAAATAACAGAAGGGATCAAAAGTCACTGATATTTTATTACACTGAGGACATTTAACAGTTGATTTCAATAATCCATGAAATGTATCAATTATCACTGAATCATTACGTTTCCTATAGTTGTCCCATGCTTCTTTAGCTACAACCTGTAAATATAGAAACAAAAATGTATTGTTGAATGGGGGTTGTGATGTGCCACAAGATGAAAACAGAATGTTTGAAGACTTAAATTTAATACTAGGCCTAACTATCTATTCATTTAGTTAGCTATAATTAGTGCAGTGTGTCGTGAATTATGGTACCTTACATGCCATCGAAAAATCTAAGATAAAGTACTAAGAACAACATTGTTGTTTCAAAATATAAACCCAGCTCCTTTGGAGCTCGCTCATTTACTTTAGTGTTGTTGCTGCCAATAAGTGGAACTCGCTGCCTGAAAATCTTCGATCCAGTCCATCACTCCTTTAAACCCAGATTGAAAACATACTTATTTGAAAAATATTTGCAAAAGTGATTATGTGTTTTGTAGCGCTATGAGCACGACTATATGTGGAATTAGCACGATATACATGGACTTATTATTATAATTGGGTATGGTATGCTTACTCTTTTTACAACACCTGATACCATTTCTCATTTGAGGATTTCACATACATGTAGCTAATAAACATTTATTCAACTTTTGTGTCAATATATACTGAATCCTGCTGCGGTTGACAAAGGTATCATTGATAATACATTATTATAAGCTTTATATAAAGGGAATGGGGTGGGACTAAGTTATAATGGTCACCCTGACTTGAGGAAAGACCCAACATTTCTGGTTAGATTTTCAAAAATCGCATTATCCATGCACTGATACAATTTATGTTAAGTTTCAGTGTAACTAATGACCTCACAAAAATCCCCATTTTTAGGGCATGGTCAGACAGACTTTAAAGTGAACTGATTTGGGGAACGCCCTTGGCTAGATTTTTGAAAATTATATTTTCCAAGTATAGACCGTTGTTTCTGGTATGTTTCAGCCATGTAACTGATGACCATATTATTAGCCCCAGTTTTAGGGCGTAGTCAGACAGACTTTGCAGAGATCTGACTTACCCCACTCTAATCCTACATATGTATGCACCTAAATGAGCAGAAATATTGTCTAGAGATTCAGATTAAATAAAATTCTCTGGTAAACCCACAGATTAGAGGTCTCCAACCCACGTGTTACATATCTAAACATTACTATTACTGTACATTAAGCTGAATACAAGTTCATTTACAAGCCTTCATTTCCAATTCCTACTGATTGTCGGGTGCCAAGGTAACAAAGTGAGTAAGATGTTGGCTCGCTAACCTGGAGGTACTATGTTCGATCCCAGTTTCACCGCGGAAGTTCATCACAATTTTCCAGTGTCTACGGTGGCTTACTGAGTAACACGGTGGCTTGCAAATCTGGCAGTCACATGTTCGATCCCAAGAAAGTTCATCATGATTTTCCAGCATGGTTCCTATTTGTCAGAGGTGTAGGTTAGAGAGCCTGGCAAGGGACAACGTATAGTCGTTCACATGGGATGGTAAACCAAAGTCCCATGTACACAGTCGTGTATATTAAAGAACCCTTGACAGATGGAATTTGATATAAGAGTAGGCTTATGTCTGTCTTCATTAACCCAGTTGGTGCAGAACAGTAGCACGTTATTTCAATTCATTTCTTTCCACTGATTGTCATTTAACATTTTTCAGGATTGTGTACATGATAGCCTATTCCAGACTTTAAAACACAACACAAAACATGTAATAGAGCAATCTCCGCAAATCATGAGACTTGTTTTAATTGCTGAGACACTACCTGAAAAATATTATTTTTGGGGGCCTAAGTTATACACATTTTTCATTACTGGAACACTTGTTTTGGTAGTGTAAGATTTAATGGAAACATAATTTTGGTAGTGTAAGATTAAATGGAAAAGTAATTTTGGTAGAAAAGTAATTTTGGTATTGTAAGATTTAATGGAAACGTATAATTTGGGTAGTGTAAGATTTAATGGAAAAGTAATTTTGGTAGTGTAAGATTTAATGGAAATGTTATTTTAGTAGTGTCAGAATTAATAAAGTTTGTATAAACATACCTCATCAGGTCTATCATTAGCATCAGTTAATTCAACATAAGGTTTAGATTTAATACGATTTAAATCTTCATGTAAACCATCAAGCAAAAATGCCATCAATTCCTGGGAATCTTGTTGCTGATAACCAGAAAACTGTGGTGCAAATCTGCCTACAGATAACTGAAATATATAATCGCAAGTTACTAATCATACCATCATTTATCTATTATATAATGTATTGTTGCACAACCATCAGGTTTCATTAACAAGCTGATTGTAAGTAGCCCAGGTATGCTTCATATTTTAACATGGATAAACAGAAAAAAAAATCTTTTACCATATTTACAAGCCTCAAACAAAGATAGGTTGCCAGGCAACGAAACATACGGCCACATAAGCTAAGTCGTTAGAGCAGTCCAACGACTTTTCATATAATCAAGGGCCATCAATCAGGAAGTTACTATCCGATATATCGAAAGGAACCAAGGCTTTTGAGTTATAAAGATATATTTCAAGTTTCATCAAAATTCTGGCTTCTAGAGGGTCCACAACCTTGATATACCATATATTTACACTATTTGCGTAAGAGGGGCGACCATTTCTGGCAGTTTTTATCAGATTTTCACGAAATTTGAATTCAGCCATCATTAGATTGTAAGGGTGATATATTCAAACGGTGTTCTAAATCGGATAAAAATTGTTACCTCTAGAGGAACCACAAGCTAAAAACATGATTTTTCAGACAATCAAGGGCCATAATTCAGGAAGTTACGATCCGATATGCTCGAACATCAAAGTAACCAAGATCTTTAGGTTATAAACATAATTTATATATCAAGTTTCATCAAAATCAGATAAAAATTGTGGCCTCTAGACGGTCCACAACCTTGATATACCATATTTGTTTAGGTCTGATTTTCAATGTGATATATTCCAACGTTTTTGTTTTTTTTAAATCGGATAATTTCGTAAAATTAGGGGCCATAATTCAGGAAGTTGTGATCCGATATGGGCAAATATTGAAAGGAACCAAGATCTTTGAGTTATTACCATGCATTTCAAGTTTCATGAAAAACTGATGAAAATTGTGACCTCCAGAGTATCCACAGGCTACAAACATGATTTTTTGTACAATTAGGGGACATAATCCATGAAGTTATGCATGTCGGATCTTTGCTCAACTCCGACCAAAATGTTCGGTCCATTTGATCTAACTCCGGCTTTTTTCCTTCGCTCATGTCTGATCGGCAGTATGTTCAGAATTTGAACCGATGATCTAAAACGCAGTTAGGTATTCCATGCACAGAGCACCAAAATAATTTCCCCTATCATTTTGACTCAAATCAGTCTGTCTATATGACGCAACGAAATAATAGAATTTTTCCGGAAAATTCGAAACTCGCTGTCTGCGACACTTTACGGGAAAATTTAGGACATTTTTCAAAGATAGCGACAAAACGGAAGTTATCTACTCACACACGCAAACAAAAGCTTGAAATGTGCCCTTGAACCAATTATTATCCGGCTCTTGCAGTTTATTTTTAATCGGGCTAAGTTTGAATTTCGGTCTTTGGCTAACTCGGATCTTCGCCTAACTCGGATAAAATTGGCCAGTCCAATTAGATACGACTTATGTGAAGTTTACTGTAATTCATATAAATTTTATACAGATCAGATATAACTTTTCTTGTTCCAGCATTCAACGTAAAACAAAATATCAAATGATCAATAAAAATTTACCTTGAAAGCTCTAGGTAGTGTATACATGTATTTACCACTCCAAATAGTTTGTATAAGTTCAGCATATGACTCAGCTATTTCACCTCTCATACCTAATGGATTCTCTGGATTTAATTCTTCTTTCCATTTATTACTCAAAAAATATTCTGACAACATTGGTACATTACTCATACACTGAAAAATAATAAACAAATCTATATAAAACAAGTCAACAGTGAGACAGGCTGATGTCCCACACCTCAATCCCAAAATAAATGAAAGACATATTATACATTTACCTTTTTGCAAATCAACGAGCAATCAAACTTAGCCTAAGCTGAAAATGCTCATGAAACTATACACCAAACTCTCATTATGTTCCAAAGCATCTGCCAATGAAATTGCTTATCTCTGCTTAGCATTATGCTCTTGACCAATCAAAATTCTTATCACGATCTATCCACTGCATAAAATGCTCATTTTCAAAATTGGTTATTGATCTAATGAAACTATACACTAAGTTTCACCACTGAACACTTTCACTAAATTTGAATCTCAAAAGCCTCGTCCAATCAAATTGATTATCAATCTACTTAGCCTAAATAGAAAATGCTCATGACAAAACTTACTCGGTTAGACGGGTCACAACCCCCAGATCCGTGGCCATTTCTCGGGAAAAAGGGTTTGACGACGGTTTCTGATAGAATTTAGAAGGGACCCTAGTGAAGATATTTGTAGTTTGCTACCTCTGAAAAACACAGGCTAACTCCAGGAGAGCCGAAAATTGAAGATGGCGTCCAAAAAAGGTCTTAAATGGACCTTGACAAACATTGTGGGCGTAATGACCCTTGTAATATAACATTTTACAGGTTTTATTGGTCACCGGACCCATTTTGGACAGTTTCCGATTCATCTCGCAAATGGATGCTCCAATATGGCCACCAAAATCCAAAACGACGACAGAAATTGGCTCGATAAGTGTTCCTTCAATACCGATAGCAACATACATGTGTGATTCCGTCATTTCAGAGGTTGTGGGGGACGAGAAACACGAATATGCCTTTTCCAAGCTGAGTGATAGAACTAATTTGAAAGTAGATAGCACACGAAAATTAAGCATTTTCAGGACTACAGACCTACACCTATAACAACCATAAATTGTTCCAGATATCCATGAATCTTATCCTTCATACAGGTATATTACAGCTATCATAATACATTATAAGTAAACGCACTATATTATAATAATGTATTCCGCAGTATGACTCGTTAATCTCAGAAAACATGCGTCAGAACTCAAGGGTCTTGAGTATTTTGAGTAATCTATGGGACTTGCACACTCAGATTGAGAAATAATATTATTTTGGGACTAAGAAGTTGTTTAAACACTTAGACACAGGGCATCGGGTGAGTATCATATACTTTCCCGCCATCCCCAAGAGGCCAGTGTGGATTCTGGAGTAATGCAACATAATGTAGGATTGATAGTTAGCTCTTTTGACCTTTTGCCTTAAACTATCACGATCTTGTGGTATGGCTGGACAATAATTTCAATAAATCAATATATCGCAATATGTAAATTTTATTGACAATATTTTTTTTACCATTAAAAATACCGCAATAATCCAATATATCGTTTGACTCTAGATCATCGCCATTCCTACAATATTCTCTCATACAAATTCATACTTCATAAATCCTAACTCGACGGAGCTGTATTAAGGCATAAGTGTTTTGTTTAACTAGAGCTGGACAATAACTTTTATAAATCAATATATCAGATTTTTCGTACAATCAGGGCCATAATCCAGGAAATTGCAGTCCGATATGCGTGAATATCGAAAGGAACCAAGATCTTTGGGTTATAAACATACATTTCAAGTTTCATCTAAATTGGATGAAAATTGTGACCTCTAGAGGGTATACAAGATAAAAATGTGATTTTTCGTACAATTGGGGGCCATGAAGTTTTGATCCGATACATGCCAATATCGAAAGGAACCAAGATCTTTTGGAGATACACCTATATTTCAAGTTTCGCTAAAATCGGTTAAGAATTGTGACCTGTAGAGCTTGATCAAACAAACTGTGGACGGACGTCCGGATGGACAAGGGCAACAATATATGTACACATGAAAATGTGGGAGTAAAAAAATGTCGAACATATTATTATTCAAGATACATTATCGGAGATTTTAATAGAGAGTTTGCCATTCTTGATATAACAGTTCAGAAGTAGACGATGAAAGAAGAATATATTGAAAATTTCAGTCAAATTACTTTATTCTGAACAAAGTTATCATCGTTGTAATATTTGACTAGAAATGGTAGTCAAATATATCTTCACCCTTGGCGATCGTTTGATTGACGTTTGAGTAACGTTTTCAATGGCTTGAGACAGGGTTGCAGTTCAATTCGTATCACATTTATTTTTACTACAAATTAAAAATAAGACTTTATTATATAGATAAGAAGCGAAAGTTTGAAAGGACTGGACCAAATCAATGAGGCATAATTATAGCCGACTTCTTGTTAGCCTGCGTGTACTCTTGTACTGTAACGTGACTACGTGACTCCCAAAGCAGACAAATAGGAAACACTACAGTGATCCAATGGGGCTGCAATTCAACTGGGGTGATGTTAGCTGCGATGTTTATCAATTTTTCTGTAAACGCAAGTGACAAAAGAGCGTATAATACCAACATCCAAACTCTCATTTTAACCACAACTGAACATAATATCAAGGCCATATATACTATTCAAAAAAAGTAGGGGATATTTGATTTTGGGGGCATAATACTAAAATATGCAAATGACTACGAAAAAAGTCACTATAGAACCTAACAGAAGAAACATTTCCAGTTACATGTGACGCCCAAACGCACCAATAGCTACCGCATGGAATGCAGGTGATGCTTGGGATCATCATGGGGGTCCAACCCACGATTTGCACGACTCTGACTTTGAATGTTACAGTCATTGTGGCATTGAATTCCAGGGTGGAAACATCAGTTTAATTGTTTTAGTGACCAGAAAACAAATTTTGATATGCGTCGGCTTACCCAAAATGAAAGGTTACGTGCCCTTGGCATGCTACAGATCGGCACAACACAGGCGGTTGTGGCGCGGACGATGAATGTTTCTCAGTCTGTCATAAGCAGGCTATGGTCCAGATACCGTGATACACAATCTGTACAGGACAGACCACGCTCAGGTCGACCAAGGGCAACAACTCAAGCCCAGGATCGATTTATCCGTACCTTGGCCTTGAGAAATCGTGTCATCACAGCAAATCAGATCAGCGCTCGTCTTCAAACAGACACTGGTGTGAGAGTGAGTGGCCAGACGATTCGGAATTGACTGCATAGGGGTCACCTTCGCGCCCGACGTCCTCGCGTGATCCCTTGTTTGAGAGATCATGACATTCAGGCAAGACGTCGTTGGTGTAGGGATCGTCAACACTGGGATAATCGACGCTGGAGCAATGTGATGTTTTCAGATGAGTCAAGGTTCACTGTTGATTTTTTGGACAGACGTAGGAGGGTGTGGCGTCGTCGAAACGAGCGCTTCCAAGACGTTAACGTCATCAGACATGATCGATTTGGGGGTGGTTCTGTTATGGTGTGGGGAGGCATCACTGTTGCTGGAAGAACGGCTTAACATGTTGTTGCAGGGCGTGTTACAGGCCAGTACTACCGGGACAACATCTTGGCAGTCCATGTTGTGCCGTTCGCACGACGTCATGGCCGCCGTTTCATCTTCCAGGATGACAACGCAAGATGTCACAGGGCCAGGATCGTTACAGGTTACCTCCAACAACAAAACATCACCACATTACCTTGGCCAGCACTGAGTCCCGACCTCTCCCCCATCGAGCATGTCTGGGACATGCTTGGACAGAGGTTACGTCAACGTCAACAACGTCCTGCCAATGTCCAAGAACTTGCTGCTGCGTTGCAACAGGAATGGGACAATCTGCACCAAAATGACAGCCGTCTCATTAGGAGTATGCCACGTCGAATCAATGCTTGTTTGGCAAACAGAGGAGGATTTACCCGTTACTGACTTGGTTGTGATGCTGTGGTAACTTTGCTGTTTGACCCCGGGTATCATTTTACCCTTATAATGGTCAGTCTGTGCCTTACTTAGTCTAACGATCATTTGGAATAAATCAATGAATGTGAACTTCATTTCATTTTGTCATTTGTTTCTTCGTCAGTTTCATTAGGTGACTTTAATAACACTTAAAAATCAAATATCCCCTACTTTTTTTGAATAGTATATATCAAACTTTCAATCAAATTGACTGACATGCGGCATCGCTCAACAGCGGCCTCGCTTTGTACACTCTATCATTTAGCCTCGATCTAACTGATGACGTCAATGTAACGGTTAATAATCTCCGCATGGAGCGCCATTTTTGATTTAATCAATCAGTGAAATCCTATTTAAATCCAAGCTGTAGCCGAGCCATCCGTGGGTCTACAGAGTTGGTTTTGGGCTTGTTTAAATAAAGATCTAATTTATAATTTCTATAACATCTGAAGCCTAAATTAAGACTTGCAATAATCAGATTTAGCTCTTGCATAATGTATGTTTAATGAAGTAATGTATTGGTATAGGCATATTTCTGTTTAGAAGAAGACAGAAGACAAAATGACAGTGATCGGGTTGTTTGAAAAATGTGTTTATTCCTGTTTTAATTTTGAAATAGCTGTGAAATGTTGGTCATTAATGAAAAAGCCCTAGAACAATTACAGCCATACATGTACTTCACTTCAAATAAACGATCAGATCGTGTTTTTAACACCGAGGCAGTGTCACTCAATATTTATTTGATATTCACTCTGTAGAAAACACGGTGATATCGTGTCCTGTCAAACCATCGCGATGTGCGTACTGTAGAGTGGCCACCATTTTCATGCGTGACCTAGAGTTCGAAACAAATTTTTTTGCGTGGCCCAGTCTGACCCATGGCCCACCTAACAATTTTTATGTGTGGCCTTGGTTTTTTGGGGTAATTGGTGTTGTTTTTTCTGCATTTAGTGATTTTGGGGTATTTTCCGGATTTGATCAGTAATTACAACCCCAAATTTTTTTTCAGTATTTTTCGGATTTTATCGGTATGTAGTACAGTCAAAAACAAATGCATTTACAGTTTCTGTATTCAGTTTGTAGTCTATTAGATTTCAACACAAAAGTACAAATGCTACAAATACCTGCAGAGCCGAATTCATAAAGCATGTATTGCCTAGATTTGACAAACCACATACACCTGGTGTAGCTACTCCACGACCTGCTTCATATGAATAACCACTATTATAACTACTAGTACTACCTTGTGATACACCACCTTCATAATTACTATAAGACCTGTAAAATACAAAATAAATTTTATCAACACACTTATATTTATAGTTCTTATAGTTTTAAAGCTTGTGACAATACAAGAGCATCTTAAAAGAACCACTATATAGAGATGATCGATAATTGGTTTCAACATCGGTAATTGGCCGATAAGTGGCCTATCGGTAGAAATTGGTCACATTATTTGTTTTAATCCTTATTCACACATTGTTTCAGAGTCCCAGTTCTCACAATGTTTTTTTAAGAATACCATTTTTGCGCATGTGCAAACAAACATAAACATACAACAGTCCACCCGACAAAACTACTGACTGGAATATGGAATAAGCCCATTACATAATGATCAAAATGATAGAATTAGAGAACACAAAAGAACGTCGCAGAGGTCTCTCTTCGATCCCATTTCAATGCGTGCTAATATCGAACGTCATCATGCAGTGTACTTATTCCTGTAAATATACAAGCTGGTTGTTCACAGGGTGTAGATCCAGTAAGTTGCCTTTGTGAAAATAGGCCACATGGCAAATAAAGATGATCTAAACAATTAGCACATTTACCTGTAATTTTGATAACCCTGTAATACTTAAAGATACATTATGGGAGATTAGATAAAAAGTTGTCAGTTCTCACTATAATAGTTAACAAGCCAACAGTGAGGCCTATGTCCTCCGGCCTCCGCCAAAATCCCAAAATAAATAGATGACACATTAATCGCACATTTATTTTTTTCAAAAGTATCAAGCAATCAAACTGATTATAAACTATACACTAAGTTTCATCACTCTCTATCAGATAGAATCAAAGTTATCTTGTCCCAAAGCATTGACCAATGAAATTGCTTAACTCAGCTTAGCTTTAGCTCGAAACGTTAATCATTGAATTCAATCAAGACATTCACTTAATGAACATCTACATAGATGTTTAAACATTCTACCTCAATAAAAAGCAGAGTTGTTATGTTCCAAAGTCTTGACCAATCAAATTGCTTATCAATCCTTAGCCTAAGCAGAAAATTCTCACCATCAAACTTAGTCAAGGTAATGATATAATGAATCTATACTCGGAGCTTCATCACTCTCACTTAATCATCAAACTCCATCAAGGCATTCACCTAATGAACACCTACACCAAGTTTGAACATTCTACCTCAACTAGAAGGAGAGTTGTTGTGTTTCGAAGTCTTGACTAATCAGATTGCTTATCGCTCTGCTTACCCTAAGCAGAAAATGCTTATTATGGAACTTAGTCAAGGTATTGATGTGATAAAACCATACACCAAGTGTCATCACTCTCACTTAATAAGAACTAAAGTTATCGTGTCCCAGAGCATCAACCAATCAAATTGCTTATCTCTGCTTACACTAAGCAGAAAATGCCCATCTTCGAACTCCATCAAGGCATTCACCTAATGAACACCTACACCAAGTTTAAACACTGAGCAGAAAATGCTCATCTTCGAACTCCATCAAAGCAATGACCTAATAAACACCTACAGCAAGTTTGAACATTCTAGCTCAATTAGAAAGAGAGTTATTGTGTCCCAAAAAGTGACAGAAAAACAGACAAACACATTTTAATAGTCCCCTGCTTTCTTCGAAAGGCGGACGACAATGAATAATTAAATGTACGTGGTCTAAAGTCAATTTACTGAACATCAAGTAAAATTTAGTCCACCTGTCGCTTTCAACAGGTAGTTTTACTTGCTACCTGCCAGTCGAAAAAAATCGCCTGTCGGCGACAAGTAGCAGGCGAACACTTCGAGCCATGCAAAATGTGGGTGCAAAACAATATGGCTGGCACCCTGGCTTATCGGTTTTTTTCAATTTTTGCATGGTACTCCCGTGGACTCATCCTTGAACAGTTTTTAAATTTGTGACCTCTAGAGGATCCACACGTTAACTCTGCGATTTTTTCGTACAATCAGGACCATAATCCATGAAGTTACGGTCCGTTATGCACGAATTTCCAAAGGACCCAAGATCTTTGGGATATAAACACAGGATATATAAACACATGTTTCAGGGAGCGGCCATTTTGTCTGTCAGTTTCGGTCAGATTTTCACAAAATTCAAATTTCATTATGAATATGATGTAACAGTGTTATGTGCGAACATTTATTTTTAAATCAGATAAAATTTGACCTCTAGAGGGACCAGACGCTAAAAATGCGTCTTTTTGTTCATTAAGTGGCATAATCTAGGAAGTCACGGTCTGATATGTGTGAATATCCACTGGAACAAGATTGTTGAGTTATAAGAAACATATATTTCAAGTTGCATCAAAATCAGATAAAAATTGTGACCGCTCATGTGTCTACAAGTACAAGGCCATAATCCAAGAAGTTATGATCCGATACATGCCATTATCAACAGGAACTGAGATCTTTGCGGGATAAACATATATTTCAAGTTTCATCAAATTCGGAAAGGCGGGGGACAAAAAGAGTTAAAGACTAGAAAAGATAAAATTACCTGGTGGATGTTTTTTCGTAACTACTTGTACTAGATGTATTATAACTGCTAGTACTGAAAAACATCAAAATATACTCATACACACTGTTCTTAATTGGCTGTTTTTTTGTTGGCTTTAATCTAGCCCATTGGTAAAACAATGAACCGGCCACTATGGTATCATGAATTAATCATAAATAAATCTACTTTCAGCAAAATTACAACACGTTAATTATTACTTGTTAATTAAGAGGTCAATCGACTTGCTTGTTGTCTACAACAACAGTCATACTGTATTAGCTTAATAGCGTTGAGAGAATACCTTCGTGTTCGAAACGTCACCCAAATAAATAAGTATGTGTATAGTTTATTGCTCTATCCAGTTACTAAATGCCTCTCAAAGATTATAACAGTCATACAGTACTTAGCAAATTTTTCTGACCAAACTTGCGCGAACATCACAGAAGAAACACAAAGAAATCGCCAAGATTTCACGGTAAATTTTTTGCTTAGTTCCGCCGGGATTCGATTGAAAACACTGTATTTCCCATGGAAAACACTGTGTATCATCAGGCTTTCTCGCAAGGAATTCGCTAGCTTTTCATCGACCCCCGACTTTTATACAGTGGAAGCATTACAAAATGTTCACATTTAGCGATGACCCAAAACTAGTCACGCTAGGAAATAGCTAACACTGTAAAAATGGTATCGCTTATAACGGGGGTTTTACCGCTAGAAAGTTTACATATAGTTTATTTTCAAAACATCGTTCGATAATAGATAAAGATAGGTTGCCAGGCCACAACAGCAAAATGGTCCGAGCGGTCGACAGGGGTTTCGCATATTTATTCCTTTGTAGGTAATTGGGGGCCTTTACAAGGCAGTTCCATACAGATCAGATTATAATTTTTGACGTTTGAGGGTTCACAAGGTTCTACAATCTGAAACAAGGGTCTCAACTCAGGAAGTAATCTACCGAAATTGTTCAAATTTGACAGGCTTTTTCGTTTTACTAATTTAAATAATGCTTATAAATTTCATACAGATCAGATGATCACTTTTGTTATTCAAATGTTCACAAGGTTCACAACCGCCATAACTCTAGAAATTATTGACGGAAATTGCTGAAATTCAATAGATCTATGTTTCACAATTTTAAATGATGCATATCAATTTCAATTATATCATTTTTATGTGGGTGTATAAAAATTACAAAAATGGTTTAGTTAGTTCTATAGATTAGTTTAATGGTAACCGGTTTAGCTTCTCAGCGAGGCGTTTACCAATGGACGACCCGTTCATTTATCTACTGCGTTTACTTATTAGACGAGCCTTTTAATTTCCATGAGATACATGTATAAATCAACACACGGTTCATTTATCTACGGTGTTTAACTATTAGATGAACCTTTTAATTTCCTGTGAGGCGTTTATCCGATCTGTTTAGGTTCATTTTGATTACAATTATTTACAAATAAAACAGGTGAATATAAAAAAAAATGCACACCCATAGATGCTCACCTTACCGTGGTCGTAGTATTGTTATCCATTAAAGAAAGGTTACCAGGCAACGAAACATACGCCCACAGGTAATTGGGGGGCCTTTACAAGACAGTTCTATACAGATCAGATTATAAATTTTGTCGTTTGAGGGTTTACAAGGTTCAACAAACTGAAACAAGGGTCTCAACTCTGGAATTAATCTACAGAAATTGTTGAAATTTGACAGGCTTTATCGTTTTACTAATTTAAATAATGCATATAAATTTCATACAGATCACATGATCACTTTTGTCATTCAAACGTTCACAAGGTTCACTATCGTCATAAATCTAGAAATCGGATGATGACTTTCATCAATCAAGGTTTAACAAAATGAAACAAGGGCCATAACTCTAGAAGTAATTATTGTAAATTGCTGAAGTTCAATAGGCTTCTTTGTTTCACTAATTTAAATCATGCATATAAATTTCGCAAAGATCGGGTGATAACTCTTGGCGTTAACAGCGTTCACAAGGTTCAATAAAGTGAAACAAGGGCCATAACTCCAGATGTAGTAAACAGAAATTGCTGAAATTCAATAGGCTTCTTCGTTTCACTAATTTAAATAATGCATCGGATGATAACTTTTGGAGGGCCATCTTCTTCGTTTCACTAATTTAAATCATGCATATAAATTTCACAAAGGTCGGATGTTAACTTTTGGCATTAGAGAGTTCACAAGGTTCAACAAAGTGAAACAAGGGTCATAACTCTAGACGTAATAAACGGAAATTATTGAAATTAAATAGGCTTCTTCATCTCACTACTGTAAACATATATCAATTTTAAAACAATTGGATAACAAGCCAACCACGCAATGTACATGTGACAGGGCGATAACCTCGTGAGACTTTCACGCCGGTTCAAAAAAATCACAATCTGTCAATCTCTATAGACAAGCTGTTGCCTATTTTCAGACAGGGCTTGCAAAATGGGTTCAAACAGTATCAACAGTAAATATGCTTCAATGATTACTACCTTGATATTACGTAACAACATGATTGATCGAATGCTGTTGTTTTATTACTTCCCACCTGCATTATTTGTGATTGTTTTTAGTGTACACACATACATACAATTTGCTTTTGTTATTAAATTATCATAGCTAAATATTTGTTCTGTTTTATTTATATTTATTTATTTGTTTCAAATGATATTGCATTTTAAATCAAAGGTACACTTATCACGACTATATTACACAGTTTCGATATTTAGGCTGCGTTCAAAATGTTTTGTATTTATGTTGACCTTAAAAATATCTTTGTTTCGCCTAACGCGACCGACTAACTAAAACCACCCCCCCCCGACTTAAATTATTTTATTGCACTTTTTCGCGATCTTTTTATTTCATTTTGTGTGTCAACCTGAAATATATCACTAGAGTTATTTCCCTTTACTATGGCTATGGTTTGATTCATTATTGAAACTGGTTGATCAAGACAAAAGCATCATAGGTGTCGCTTCTCAGCAAAATGGTTGCAGACGAAAGTACGTCCATTCCCACGAAATGATTCTGCCTCTGTGTCTGTGGGGTGTCGTTTTAAACATGACGACGATATTTTCAATATCAGTTTTTGAGAAAAATGAAGGCACAACCCGCACGATCTTTAAAAACGTGTTGAATGAGTTTCACACTTCAAGTTCGTGGTAAATTGTGTGCGAATCGTGCATCACGAAAAATCTTGATTTCATTGATTTGTTTGCCAAAAACAGAAGACGAATGTTTCCACCCGGAAAATTATCAGGCTGTCAAATTAGCTTTGTAATGGTGATATATTCACACAATTTTTTTTTTAAATCAGATAAAAATTGCAACCTCTACAGGGACCACAAGCTTAAAACATGATTTTTTTTGTTCAATCAAAGGCTATAATTCAGGAAATTAAGATCTGATATGCGCGAATATTGACAGAAACCAATATCTTTGGGTTATAAACATATATTTCAAATTTCATCAAAATCAGATGAAAATCGTGACCTCCAGAGGGTCCACAACCCTGATACACAATATTTTGACATTATTTGCGAACGAGGGGCGCAGGGCTGCCGATAACCAGTAACGCAGCGCAATTTGCGAAGCATATTTTGTCCGTTGCTAATCAAAATTTAAAATCTAACGTTTTTGATTCCCAGTAACTGCGAATCATTACCGAATCATTAATATGCCTGTTATTTTGGATATTGACACGAAGATTTATCCACATTTCTCAACACTTTCAACGTGTATAAAATATCAAATAAATTTTATAAGCAAAACTCAATTCTCCGTGTGACATTTTCTTCTCGAACTACCCAGACTCAATTCATTATAATATATAATACAGGGACATAACTCTATGAATTGGGACTATTAAATCGAAACTAGGGAATCAAGTAGTACCATTCATGTTGCAAGACATGACAATTTCGAGTAATTATATCAGTATTCAATTTGAAAAAAATAAATTCAGTGTATACCCCAAGTATTGTCAATAAAATATAAAAAATAAATATGTGTAAACGTATCGTAAAATAAGAAATCAAAGTTAGAATTCCCGTAAAATATTATTGTTAATATCGCGTGCGTCTAGTTAATCAAGATAATTCATAAAAAACTGCGTGCGTCCGATTGAAAAAAAATAGTAACACATGATAAAAAGCAGACAAAATTGTTTTCTAAAGAAGAAATAAGTTCGGAAGCCACTGCCAAAAATTGGCTTCAGACATAACCAAAAGTCTACATTCAGAAATGTTCACAGCTATCTGTAGCAGTGCTAAAATTCTAAAAAATCTGAAGAATGAAATCTAATCATTTGTTATAAATTAAAGTAATCTTGTTATTTACTATATTTAGTTGTTTTATGTTGAAACTGAAAAACTGCTAATCAATTTTTAAATTTGCTAATCAAATTTGGCAAAATTGGACTTTTTGATTAGCAGTGCTGCTAATCATCTGTGAAAAATTATCGACAGCTCTGGAGTTGCGGCCATTTTGTCCGTCAGTTTCGGTCCGATTTTTACGAAATTCGAACTCAACCATCCTTAGGGTGTAACGGTTATATATTCAAACATTTTTTTAAATCGGATAAAAATTGTGGACTCTATGAGGTCCACAAGCTAATAAAAACCAGCGATTTTTCATACAATCAGGGCCCATAATTCAGGAAGTTATGGTCTATGCGAATATCAAAAGGAACCGAGATCTGTGGGTTATAAACATGCATTTCAAGTTTCATCAAAACCCTGATACGCAATATTTGGACACTATTTGGTATGAGGGGCAGCCATTTTGTCTGTTAGTTTTTGTCCGATTTATACGAAATTCGAACTCAACCATCCTTATGGTGTAACGGTGATATATTTACACGGTTTTGTAAATCGGATAAAGACAGGTTGCCAGGCAATGAAACATACGCCCACAGCAGCTAAATTGTCCGGGCAGTCAACAAGTGTTGTCGCATATTTTTTTTACTTTTTTTGGTAATGAAACATTTATAATACTATACACTAAAATCTGATTAAGAGTAACAACTCATGAAGTAATTATCAATCTG